GGAGAAGGACGTCTGGGGTGTTTTGCTTGGCCTGCTGCCCCTGTGACCCGGCCCCGGATAAGCGGGGAAAAATTAATGGATGTTTTCAGTATATCAACTATTTTGGCAGTCCTGCAGTGAGGAATGTGATGTATACACCCTTCACTATATGATGTAACTAAATCATATGCATTGTAAAACATCAAAGACAGTTTTCCCATACTGAACACATTTGTATAAGAAAAACAGAATCAGGCAGGGCACACCCTGGACAGGTCACCAGACTATCACAGGGCTGACACATAGAGACAGACAACCATTCACACTCACATTCACACCTATGGACAATTTAGAGTCACCAATTAACCTGCATGTCTTTGGACTGTGGGAGGAAGCTGGAGCACCTGGAGAAAACCCACACTGACATGGGGAGAACATGCAAACTCCGCACAGAAGGGCTCCCCCAACCCCGGGTTCAAACCAGGAACCCTCTTGCTGTGAAGTGACAATACTATCCACTGCACCAACGTGCCACCTGCTGTCGGGAACTACTGGAATATTAAGAGTGAGAAAGTCCATATAAACAGGTGGGTCCAATGAACTCCGAACTTTCACCCCTGGAGTCCGCTGTTCGGTTCCTGTGTGAATTTTAAGCCAAGCCAGGTTTTTTCTAAACCTAACCTCATGCTTTTGTTGCCTGAACCTCAGGACTCAGCCTCAAAACAAGGTATTTACCGTACGTTGTTAGCTTATTTGACAAAGACTTGAATGTAACAATTGTACCAACTGTAGCTTTAATGAAATTACCAAAGAAAAACACTAATATTAGACCAGTGGTTCCCAAGTGGTGGGTCCCAGTCCAAAAGTGGGTTGCAGGGTCCATTCTGAGTGGACCGCAAGTGACTGGAGAATGTATCATGTTTATATACAACACTTGATTTTGAGGTACAGTGAATTTCTAGTACAGGAGATTTATTTTGAAGTGCAATTTCCTGCTGTAGAGGGACTGACTAACAGACAGCTACTTGACAGCAGCAAACAAGCTTGACAACAATGCCAAACATCATTATGACACTGAATATATTAAACTGTGGACCTTGAACTAATGACTAAGGAGAAATCTGGATCCTGTGGCTGCACCAGTTGGGAACCACTGTACTAGATAATACATTCAAAATGTGTGAGGAGAGTGTGTGGGAAAAACAGGCAGGCCCACAGATAACTTTTATCCCAGGTTGCCAGGGTAGATTATGATGGCCTTGTCTCACTTCCCTCATTATCTGTCATGTTTCTACTAACCAAATGAAAACTAAAATGAATTGAAACTAAATAGAACTACATGAAACATACCATAGTGTTGGGTGCAGCGTGCACTCTTTTAAACCATATGCCTGTATATGTATGTAGGATGTCTTCATACATTTCCAGCATTCAAGACAGACACCCATCCTGCCCCTAAGATATTTAACATGACCACATGACCAAACTCAGGCCTGAGAGCACATGAAAACAGCAGGTAGCTAACAACCACCACAAGCCTCAAAATGTCTGATATAGCTTTATAAAATGTGAAGAGTTGATGTGGACAGCAAACTGCAGGGATAAGAGATATTTTCTTCTCTTTAAGTGTCACTGTTTTCATCCCTGAAATGCAAATGCTTCCATCATGTTGACGTGTGCTTCAACAAAGACATTTAAACCCCTCTTGGATTATTTTTTTTCCTCAGAAAAAGAGTGTCAGCAAAATCCCCTAAACTGTAAAACCCAACAGGCAGAAAACGTCTTTATCCGTACAGTCATGAAACCATAAGAACAGTCATGTGCACTGTGGGCTGGCTGACGAGAAGCAGCCGTCAAATGTGGTGAGACTCCACAACGGCAGCGTCCTCTGATGTTCCCCTTCTATCACACAAAGCTTCTTCTCATGACCGACCCGCTCTAAGTCTGAGCCAGAGGATGAGGTTAATGATGGTTAGATGGAGCTTGAGTGTGACAGAAGCCGGTTTGATGCTAATCCTCCATGTGGAGTGCAGCATAATCCTGTACACTCAAACCCTGAGAAAATGTGGTTTACCTAAAGAAGAGTGCGACATGAGAAACGTGTCATATATTTCATAAATCTATAGCTGGGGTGTCAGTAAATTTTCACTTCTGTCTCCCACACCAAAATGAGATCAAGCACTCTTTCACTTCTGTCTTCCATCTGGAAACACCAGCGAGGATTCACACTTATAATCAACATCATGGATAAAGAAGTGAGAATGATCGAGGAGGGGAGAGTACATTCCTGTGGCATCATTTCTCTGGAAGAAGAATAAAAGCTACAGTTCAACTGAAGCCCCATTTTGACGTTTCATAGTTCATACAGCTCTTTTTGCCCAAATCAGTTCTGTGCCTCTCTAGTTTAGAACTAAACAAACAAAGTGTGTGTTTACACTGGATTGATAAGATGCCAAAAATTATGTAATTAGATATAGAAGTGTGGACTTGTGTCGCATGACTTGACTCGAGTCAGACTCAAGTCACAAATTTGATGACATAGTACTCAACTTGCCAAAATCAAAAAAGATTTGCAACTTGATTCAGACTTTAAAATCTCATAGCTACATTGGATTTTTTTTTGGCCTTTTGACTTGAAAATACTAAATAACTTCCCTCAGGCCCAAAGAGTAAGATATTGTTTAATTTATTTAATCTAATATAATTTAATTGAATGTATTTCCTGGATCAACAAACGTTAATGTTATTAATTCCTAACAAGTTGACACTTAATTCTTCAGATCTACATAGTCAAAACCAACCTGACAGCATCCATCCAAGTTTTAGGAGAGACCATGAAGAACTAACATTATGTTATCTTGCTTTGCGATATGACACAACACGACACGTCACGTCACATCAGTCACGTCACGTCACGTCACGTCACGTTACATACAACTCTCTCTCTCCACTTTCAAATCCCGCCTCAAAGCTCGTCTCTTTCAAAAAGCCCATTCAGTTTGACTCCCGTCCGTCTATCCACACATAGCCACTATTTACACTACATTTTATTCACTGTAAACTTGTTTCTTGATTATATATTTGTTGTTATGTTATTATTTTTTTTTTTATTCATTTTTATGTTACTTGATTCCTTCTCTCATTGACTTTATTAATCTGTTGTTATTTTCTCTACCTTTGCCTGTAAGGTGACCTTGATTGTCTTGAAAGGCGCCTATGAATAAAATATATTTTTATCATTATATTACTGAGCACCAGTTAGAAAAAATTATAGCAAGGATAATTTCATTCATGTGCAAAAACTGTAGCCTGGAAATCCAGACCCAAATCTAGAAAGATTTAGGGTTAGGGTTAGACTCACTGAGCAAATTCAAATTGTGCTCTGGCGAGAACTCTGGATTTCCAGGGGACAAAAACTGTGCAGTGGTCATCAAAAAGCAAACTGCAATATCCAAGACGTGCAGGTCAAAGACGAAATGACTTCCAACTTTGTTTGACTTTTGAAGTTGCACAAAGAACAGAAAGTGGAGGCTCATATTAACATAGCTACAAGCTAATGCTTAGTTAGCGTTAGCGTTGAAAAAGCTTTCATGATTTTTGTATATTTAATACTGGCATTATAGTTTTTGAAGAGTGCATTCTGACTTGTTTAGGACTTTAACCTGACTTGGGACTTGCAGTTTTGACTCAGGACTTTAGTGCAGAGACTTGAGACTGACTTGTGACTTCAAAAGACAATGACTTTGTCCCACCACTGAAAAAATAAATCAAATGTTCAGTTGTGCACCTGTTCCTCTTTTTCATTCACCTTATGATGTTTTAAACCAAATAAGCATCAACTTCACTCATGAGTGCTGACTTTCTGTTGCTTCTTACATGTGGCTGTATTTGCGAAATAAAATAAAAAACAAATTAAAAGTATATTTTTATAAAGCCACAGTGACTCAGACCACCCACTTTCCACTATCCTCCATTGTCTACAGTTTTAACTTATATGATATTTAGAATATTATGATAGTAGCTTGGTAACTGCTATTAAATAATGTGATATATGTTCCCTGTCTGTGAAAATATAATGCCATATTTTCACATAATCACCTAATAACTATGTCACAAACAAATTATAATAAACCTATAATCATTTTTTTAACGATCCTATACAATTATCAGTAAAAACTAAATTAAAATCATGATTTAGTCACAATGAATGAATAGTGAGTAGCCTACCTTTCATCACACTGTATGTCTCATTAGTGGATGGCGCCCTCCGGTGGTTAAAATACTCAGTGAAAGAGATTTTGACTTATCACTGCAAACTGCAATGACTCTCTAATTACTGCTCTACTGCAAACAATTTCCGGTTTAAACATGATAACCAAAAAAGGAATCTGTGGTTTGTATTGTCACTTCCCATTTAAATAAAGACATCCTACCTGGGCACTGTTTTTAATCTATTGTATCACAGACACTCTTTACTCTTTGTGTAAGAAATTATAGTAAGTTTATGTGAATTTAATCAGTTATAACACCCAATATGTTGAATACTAGTGTGTGAAATTATGTCAGTATCATCTGTCTGCGTGACACTTATGTGACAGCTGCGTGTCGTTGTAAAATATAAGTCCATAATAGTCTACAACAGGTGAAGTTCCAGTGACACCACATCATGTTGTTACTGTAAATTAGGCCGTTAGTTTTTCCGTAAGTAGGAAGTAAGCTACACCGCTGTTTGCTATGCTACCTTAATGTACTGTAGGATTTTTAACTATTCTTCCAACGAATACGGAAGCGCAAGTAGCTTATAACTCAGGAAGCGGTACTAAACTCATACATGAGCTTTGATAACTGGTTTAATGTGTAGGTGATTACATTCAAAGAGCCAAAGTCACGTAAAGAATAAGATAAATGTGTTATTTTCACTCTTGGTTGTATTATCGACTCGGATACCCCAAAGTCGGAGCTTTATGAGTGTCCCTGAACGCGCCGTGAGTTCCCTGCTGGTTAGTCACTGCTGTGTTGTAAACAGACGGTGTTCACAGACTGACCTCCGCTCCGGGCGGATCCGACCAGAACCGGGACTGACTACCGAAACCCGCGATGGTAAGACCGGAAATATTCTCTGTATCCTTTTTAACACCACATGAAGTACTTTATATAAAGTTTACGTAGTGTTTGTGTTTGTTTAAGCTCCAGTTTCACCTCGACTTTCTTCAGGAACAGTTTTACTTGAGTGACAAAAGGAAAAGAGTCCAAGAAACTTAAACCGAGGACACTTGTTGCACACTTATTAAAGCTATAACCGAAACACAGCTGTCTATTCTATTCTGTTGTACTTTTTGTCGTTCCGGTTTAGTCATTCATGCATTATAAATGTATGGAAATGTCATTTTAAACTAAATAACATGGTGGTTTTCTATTTTTTGGTGCAGTCTTTTGTTTGTATACGTTTTTCTACCTGAGGCACTGAAACCAGCAAGTTTACAAGTATACATAACTGTTTGCTTTTCAGCACTGAGTGAGTATCACCCAGCAAAGAGGAGGGAGCACGACCACTGTATTTTCCTCGAAGTCAGACAACAAGGTGGGTAAAATGTTTAAATCAATATAGAGGGCATCTCTTCAGGTTTATACTATAGAAAACTATACATAGATATTGTCCAGAAGGAATTAATCAAGAGTTTTCAATGGTCAGTATTGGTATCAGTACTTTTGAGTTGAAGCATTGGAAATGGGAAGTAGAAATGTACCTAACAGCCTACATTTATTTAAGTACTGTTCTTAAGTGCAATTTTGAGGTACTTGTACTTTGCATGCTTCAGTATGCTTAAGGGGAAACCACTGTACTTTTAACTCCACAACATTTATTTGATTAATTTAGTCACTTCACAGATTCACATTAGTCATACTAAATGTGATCAGTAAATGTGATCAAAGTGTAGTACAGAATTCAGCTGCAATGAGACATGATTACATCACTCCAGTTTAAGCCTCTTCACACTCGTTCCCAGTATCTTTTAGAATAGATTTTAAGATTTTACTGATTACATTTAAGGCTCTTCATGGTCTCCCTTCTAGCTGTATCTCCGACCTCTTAGTGCTGTACACGCCAGGACGTACTTTGAGCAGAGGTTTTTTGTTTTATCCAGAGGCTTGGCTGAAATTAAAGGTGACAGCGTTTGCTGTCAGGATCCAGAGACTCTGGAACTTGGTCAGCCGAGTCAGTGATCTCTTTTAAATCCCTTCTTAAAACATGCTTTTATCAGAGGGACTTTCCTGATTTTATTTGAGTTTTTACTTCCTCAGTTTTTATATACTAAAGTCTTTTTATCAGTTCTTTTAAAAGTTGTTGTTTTCAAGTCTTGTCTGTTTTAATTACTGACATGTAAAGCACTTTGTAACTCTGCTTTGAAAAGTGCTTCATAAATAAAGATTATAATCAACAACTAAATTATATGTTTTATTAGAGAGTAAGATAAAACTTTATTCGTCTCCAGGGGGAAATTCATGAGCTACCCAGCAGATGAAGTGTATAAAGCAATAAAATTAGTTCCACCTCCACCAGCTACATCATTTAAGTGATGTATGACATGACATGAATGTATCAGTAATTATAATCCAGTCTTACGATATACATTACACTGAATCAGGCCATTCTGCATAAGGAAAACTTAACATATATTTGGATTAAGTTGAAATTTTCAATGCGTGACTTTTACACATTACAAAGTATTTCTGCACTGTGGTATTTATTTTACTGTAGTACAGGATATGAGCACTTCTTTCACCTCCGCCAATACCTGATATTTTGAGCCAAGAGCCAACGTTTATACATTTTGTTCCATATGTTGTAGTACTGCCGCAGGAAGTCTTCTTGCAGGATCAGACAGATTAAGATCAGCAAATAGACCTCAGGGCAACATGAGAAAGTCAAACTTTCCGTTGACATCAGACCACAGATATTTTTTTCAGGGCGAGCAGCTCTCTAAAAAGAGAAATTACAGCACACATGCTGAGGAAGGCAGAGGTCAAAACCATCACAGGCAAATGGATATACAGCATATATTGGTCCAGTTCTATTTTTATAACTAACTTTTAAATCTCAGCAAGTCAGATAATTCTAACAGAGTCATATTACTGTCTAAATGACAATCCACTGCCTGTAAGCTCTTCATTAGTCATAAAAGTTAAATGCTTTCCCAACATGCTGTGCGTAGGTCCTCTCCTGTGTCCACAATGACCACCCTCGAGGACGGTGACATGAACACCTTCGGCCCAGAGCTGCCGGCCATGTTTGATGGTGTGAAGCTGGCAGCGGTGGCGACTGTGCTCTACATCATCGTCCGCTGTCTGAACTTGAAGAGTACCACAGCAGCACCAGAGATCATCCACCAGGATACACTGCTCAACCGTTACCTGCTTAAATCCTGCCCACTGCTGTCCAAAGAGTGAGTGTTTATTAGTATATAGTTTTTAAGACTTACGAGTGATGCACTTTGGACTGGATCATTGGATGACGTCTGCACCTGACATACAGGTGTGAGATTCACTTATATGGCTTTTCAAGACTGCTGTAAAAAGAAGTAATGGAACATCTGACAAAATAATTGACAAAAACAGAACTCTAAACTGAGCTGGTTTGTCAGTTGCAGACTTGATGACTGGGAATTTGACATGACTTTAATGACTAAGACTTGACCTGGAAACTCGGACATGATCTTGGTGACTCTGAGGACTCAACTTGGATTTCATTTCATTGTTATGTCTCCACTTGGTGATAGCCATGGCCTGAAGCAATTTATTTTGGGTTTTCCTTCCACACGTCTATTCATCCTGTCTCATGAATGCAGTATCTCAAGAACGCCTTGAGGGAGTTTCTTCAAATTTGGCACAAACGTCCACTTGCACTCAAGAACGGGTTAGATTTTAGTATTCAAAAGTCACTGCAACCTCATAAAATGCGTTTTGATCATAACTTAAGAATTCTTACTCTAATAATGCTAAAACTTTACACAAATGTCTAACAGGATAAAATGATGAAGTGGTGTCAATTTGGATCTAAAAGGTCAAAGGTCAGCGTCACTGTGACATCGTAATATTCTGCAGAAACACTTTTCTGGCTGTTATTCAGCATTATAACTCAGGAACAGAAGAGGAGACATTTGGTCAGATACTGAATTGGTAGTCTCGCTCACCAGACCTTTCTCAAGAAAAGAAAGGTCTGGCTGCGCCGACTCTCACTTTAAGATTGGAGAAAAAAACACCCCGTCTTTTTTTATTTCTTTCAACCAATCACATTCGTTCTTGGTGGTGCCACATCAACGGTGCACTTGCAAAAATATTGCCGGGGGGAAACAGGTTTTGGTGTAACACGCCCACAAAAGTATCGCCTACAGGATGCGAACCATGGCAGAAAAATGGCTACATCCCTGCAAGATCAAACACCGCAAAAGTTAGTAAAGGACATGTTGAAAACTGCTACACAACCGGAGGTGGTAGGACTTTAGCGGGTGGCTCATTCCTCCCAATGAGAGGCTGATCTATGCAGCGAACTTCCGCCCACTCAGACTACTGAATTGGTGACACTAATCTTGAAAATGTGCTGATTGTATAGATCTTCTGTGCTGACGCGTTGAAGACATGTGTGAAGCATCCATGTGGCTACATGAGTCTGGACAGACAGGAATGTAAACTGTAACTGCAGCTTGACTGGTTTGTGGAGGTGGAAGTACAGCAAAGTAGTTTACCCACACAGTGAGGAGAAAAAGCAGGTAAACAGCAACTGCAAACAAACAAGGAGCAGTAAAAGTAACGACTCAGACAAAGTCATTCTTCATATAAAAGATTCTAATCAACAACTCATTTAAAAAAAGATAAAACTTAATAAAGAATTATAGAGAGCTATGAGTTCATGAAGTGTCAGACTCACAATGGTCAAGAAAGGATCAAAACAGATTTAGCGGAACCAGACATATTGTCTGTTTTATTACACACATTTTTCTGTCTTACTTTTCAAAACCTGGTGCCTACATTACCCACAATGCAGTGCACGAGCCAACAGTTCAGTGGGAGATTTGGGCATGTTATTATGCTAGTAGCAGCTAATGTAGCCTCGAACCTCAAGCAGATATGAGGTGCAGCCTACAGAGGTCTGGCAGGCTATCCAACTCTACATCTCCAGATATTTTTCATTTTCATACATACATACATGAGGTCTGTAGCTCAAGTTTGCAAAGCTCCCTTTGGATTCACAAAAGTCTTTTATACAACTTGTTTAGTAGTGGTAGTCTCCAATAAATATAAACAAACTTTGATGGAGTTAAGGTTTCTTAGAGAGTCTTTAAGTGTCGTTTTTTTATCTTCTCCGCAATGTGTTCAACATTAATGGTAAAGTTACGCTCTTCATGGCTGCTCGCACATGGATGAGCCGTACATTGACTTGCTCATACAGTACATCCCATGAGCTTGGACCTCAATCACTTAAGACAAGTACGTCATTTTAAAGTTATGCTAAATCTTGTTGGCTTGAGACCCACTTATATCTAACACATTTACAAGTACATGGGAGTAAAGTGTCTAGAATTACATGATTTGTTGGTATTAAAATGTCACCACAAATAAGCAGTCTTCTCCAGCTCAGAGCTCAAATCCAGCTCAGCTGCTCAGTTAAATGACTGATGATGCCTGTGGATCTGTCTGCCACCTCCTATAGTTGGAGTGGTATGTGGCCTGACTGCAGTGTGACAGTCTTCGCTAAGATGCGGCTGAGACATCTTCAGGGTGGAGGTTACAGCTGTGATATGTAATATGCTTTTCTTTAGATACATTCCTCCCCTGTTGTGGGGCAAGAGTGGACATGTCCAGACGGTCCTGTATGGCAAGATGGGGCGTGTCAACACTCCAACGCCCTGCGGGGTCCGCAAGTTTCTCCCCATGCCGGATGGGGCCACGGCGACCTTTGATCTTTTTGAACCTCGTGGAGACCACAGCACAGGAGGTCAGTGGCAACAGCTAGTCTGTCTGGTGAAGCATCAAAGCAACTGGTTTAGGATTTACTGCATGTTTAGGATTTAATCACACAACCACTGATCTTCTGTTATACTTTGAGGGATTATTTTACAGTGATTATTGTTTTGTTTTTTATTTTACTGTTTTTCCTCTTGAGTTTTATCTGCTTGTTTGGGTTGTGGGTACATCACGCTGAAGTAACAAGCAGCTCATACTACAGTTTGCACGAGCAGGAAGACCACTAATGAAATCCCAATAGAGCGAGAATGCCACGCATTTCAGCAGCCAATTAAATCAACATGCAATCACACACACATAATGTGGCATCTACTTTTACGCCTACCCATGACTCCACTTTGAATGTGTCCCCTCTTGTTTGTCTGTGTGTATGTCAGATGACATTACCATGGTAATCTGCCCTGGGATCGGTAACCATAGCGAGAAGAACTACATTCGGACCTTTGTGGATCACTCCCAGAGGCAGGGTTACCGCTGCGCCGTCCTCAACCACCTGGGAGCCCTGCCCAACGTGGAGCTCACCTCGCCGCGCATGTTCACCTACGGTAACAAGGGAAACATCACATGGCAGACTTATAAGTACACAAGTTACAGTACAAACCATAGTGGGGAAGTTCACTTTAAAATTAGAGGAAGAAAAACGAAGCAAAGTGAAACAAAACAGAATGAAGTCAGAGTTGCAACATAAAAACACAATGACAAGTAAAAACAGAGTTTCATAAGTATTTATCACTAGGACACAGTTTTAAAAGTGTCTCTCTTTTATTCAGGCTGTACCTGGGAGTATGCGGCCATGGTGGGCGCCATCAAACGAGCTTTTCCTCAGACACAACTGGTGGTTGTGGGCTTCAGTCTGGGGGGAAACATCGTCTGTAAGTTCCTGGGTGAGAACAGATCCAACCAGGACCGAGTGCTGTGCTGTATCACTGTCTGTCAGGGTTACAGCGCGCTCAGGTTGGTAAAATGAAGAATAAACAGAACCAGGACTAAAAAAATACAAAGATTAGGATACAGGACTGGTGTTTTAAATACCGTGTAAGCATGCATTTATGCATTTGTGTGTGTTTGCGTAGGGCCCAGGAAACATTCCTTCAGTGGGATCAGTGCCGGAGGCTCTACAACTTTGTGCTGGCGGACAACATGAAGAAGCTCATCCTGTCACACAGGTGGAGAAACACAACAAACATTACTGCAGTTACAGATGTGTTAATCCCTTTAACTTTATGACAGTGTATTTTTATCGTTCATAAATTGTAGCATTGCTTTATTCTGGTTGTTGTTTCTCTGCATTAATTGTTGCGGTGGATTTCTGCAGCAACGCACCAAGATAAACATCCATTGAGGGCAATACTTTTTTGGACAAGCATAGACAAGAAATCATTGCTAGATGTCAGCCAAATGCTACAAAATGAGGCTATCAGTGTGAACAAGTTGGAGTTGCTGCCTTAAAAAACATTTCTGACATTGTCTGATAGGTGTTAGGGCTTACCAGCTAAACAAATATTTAACTCCTGATTTGTCTAAAACCCGTCATTGTGTTGTTCAACAGGAGCACTTTGCTCAGCCTGAACTCCAGCCACATCAGTGAAGCAGACGTAAGCAGACTGTACGCAGCCACGTCCCTGACGCAGATCGACGACAGCATCATGAGGTGAAGTTTGGGTGGATTTTATATTTTGTTTCGGCTGCTAATGGCTGCCACAAACTCTACAGCCTCTCATCTGTCACTGATCTTATCACATGATTTGTTCTGCAGAAAATTTCACGGCTACAACTCGTTGAAGGAGTACTACGAGCAGGAGAGCTGTGTGCACTACATCAAGAACGTGAGTGTGTGCAAGTTTGTACAGAGACCCTGATAGATACTCAGTTACTGTACTGTATTTTACATTGTATAATTTAGCCTAGCGACTAGTGGAGATTTCCTCTACTCATATGAAGCCAAGATAAATCACACAAGACTTAACAAATGCTATTTTGTGGAGGCTTTATTGTCTTCGCAATTTATTGTTTCTTATCTGTGAAATTAAAGTAAATAAAAGCTTCCTTTCCACTGAGGGAAAAGGTTTCAGACAGGAGGTCTGCATTACCACGATGTGTAGTTTCATTTCTGGGGAGGTGCACGTCAGGCTACAGTGTAGGGTGTCAATTTGGCGTAGGAGTAAAAATCCCCCTTTAGATTGTGTAATTAACATATTTTTCCTCAAAATAATGTCCCATGATGGACACCAGAAGGAGGGACTTCACCTCTCTATAGTGCTACTGCATTTACAACAACAGTAATACACTGACTAACACACCACTAAACCATCGTCTACAAATACTACTTCTGTAACTACTACCTCTCCTTCCTGAGGCAGTGCTTAACAAACATTCAGACACAAACTGTTGTTTTGTCTCCAGGTCACCGTCCCTCTCCTGCTGGTCAACTCCTCAGACGACCCACTCATTCATCATTCATTGCTGGATATTCCACGCACACTTGCAGGTTTGTGTGAAAAGACAAGATGCATTCATTAACGGTAGATAATTAGGAATATTTGAAGTCGTATTTGATGGTGTTGTTAGCTATAGTAGATTGCTTTGGCCATGATGTGGAATAATTCATCAGTTACAGCAATGTGAAATATTTGATGTGTTTTATGCAAATGCATTTAAAGTAACCCTGACATGGTTTGACATGAAGTATAAAATAATAATAATGATTTGGCCAGTCTTTATGGCTAAGTCACCTTCATTGGCACATAAAAAAAGGTTGTCGTGATAGAAAATCCTTCATCAGAGTCTCATGATTAAGTGATAAAGACTGTTAGGTAAGTTTCAAAACAGCCTCAGTGGACCAAACAGAAAAAAGGTCACACATTAAAGCAATATATGATGATAAAACAATAATGTCCACACCTTCTACAAACAGCCACGTGGAAATATGCAAGTATGATCTCCTCCCTCTGCACTTTGAATCATGCAGCAACATGTGGAGGAGTCACTGAAACTGTTGCTATGACGACTCATATTGTTTTGAATGTTTTGCGTGTTTCCTACAAAACGAACGGGCACAACAGTGAAACATTGTCCTCGCAGTGACACAGATTCAGGCCAGTGTAGAGCAGAATGAACCCGTTGTCCCTCCTCTGCTCTGGAGCCGGACACTAGAGCCGCAGTCTTAAGTGTTGATAAAGTCTTGTCGCAGCTATCTGCTCAACACCGCCCAACCCAGACGGTCTTGTTGAATTTTTCAGGGCCATGTGATACGACTAGGCTGTTGGATCATATATATAGAGCAGTGTGTGTGTGTGTGTATGTGTGTGTGTGTGTGTGTGCATGTGTGTGCCCTGTCTTGCCTCAGTAGGTCACATGCACTGGCCCCTATGTGTGTAAATCAGTGTGAGTAATGACTTAAACCTTGACAAGTGAAATTCTAAACTAGTCCTCAGTGGTGGAAGGTAACTAAGTACATTTATTCAAGTTCAGTACTTCAATACAATTTTGACATACTTTACAGAAATATTTCCATATCGTGCTATTTTATACCTCTACTCAACTACATTTTGGGGGAATAATATTGTACTTTTTATTCCCCTATATTTATTTGAAAGCTTTAGTTACTTTGCATTAAGATTTCTAATACAAAATATAAATTAAACAACATTAAAGTGATGAAAACATTAATGCATCAATAATTATTATCCAGTAAAATAAAATATATGATTCTGGAATGGGCCATTATGCATAAAGAGTAGTTTTATTTTTGGTGCTTTAAGTCTATTTTTGATGCTAATACTTTTTTACCTTTAAGTATGAGTTTGAATACTGTACTTTTACTTGTAACAGAGTATTTTTACACTGAAGTATTGCTGCTTTTACTGAAGGAAAAGCTCTAAATGCTACTTGCACCACTGCACTTATTATTAATTTAAGAACATAGAATTGCAACAAAATAAGTGATATAGTTTTATAGTTTGCCTTCAAATATTCAGTAAAAACTAAACAAAAATGATTTCTCATTTCTTTAGTTTGTGAACAACAACAGTAACTCAGAGTGAGATTCAGATTCTGTATACAATATTAATAGTACCCTGGGATCTATATATATATAAATCAACAGGTGATTTCCTTCTTTTAGCAAAATCCTAAATGATTGAGTTGTTTTTTTTCCACCTGGACCTTTATGCTCTGCCATTTCTCCTGTAATCATCACGCTGTAACTGTGACAGGCTGTTATGATACCACAGCTATCACACATTCACATATACGGAGTTTTTTGTTGAGCTGCGAGCGTCACGTAGGTTTACATTACCAAAGGTTTATGACAAAATCACTTGACGACACCGACTCCCATGTGTACACGGTGAGAGAGGAGAGGGAGAGACGCTGTGCTGCTGCCAGAGGAGCCGCTGAATGAGTTCCCTCTGAGCAGTAAGTCACTAAAAGAGTCTGAGAAGTCTGGAGACGCCACAGTTTATTCCACACTACTGAAGCTGCTCCTCTTTTTGGAACCACTGTGGAGTTTCCAATTTTACACTTACAAACCACTGAATAACTAAATATTGTCACGGGTGTTCGTAGTTCTTAATAATTTTGCTTTTCCAGTTTGGTGATGATATTCTGCACAACCCTGGAGATAAGCATTATAGACACTGGTGCTGGTTTTAATGCCTACCAGATTAACCCTCAATATCTAGCTGAACTTCATTGTGTTAATGTGTGTGCAAAAAAAAATGTTACGGAGGAGAGAGTGTGTCGGTGGTGTAGAGTAACAGAAAGGGAAAGGAGGACTTCTGTGCAGGGGCCGAGCTTCTTGGCCACTGGCCTCACAGTCAGTCACCTACACAAAGCAGTGGAGCTTAATTATTTACCCTCACACTGAGAAGATCAGGGTGCCTTTAATTACCAAATGACTGGAGATGCTTGACCAGGAAAAAAGACTAATTGGCCCAATGAAGTGCAAAAAAAAGTTACGACCTCTTAAACACTTCCGCAAAAATGTTTCCGCTGTGCAGTCTTTACCAAAACTATCTGTTTCTGTGATTGTGCCAAATAGTGTCCATCTAATCCAAACTGAGACTATATAGAAGACATGGTTGTAGGGTCCAGGTCAGCTTCTCAGGTCAAGACTCTGCTGTCCATTTACATCTTAAGGAGAAGGGGCACTCCTTTGAGGACAGCACCCACCTACAATGCATTCTTAAGAACCCTCCCCAGATGGCTTAACACCCATTCACACCCATCTGACTCTAACAACACACATGATGGCTGGGTGGGTTAATGACTTGCACATGACCTTAGCAACTCTGTAAATGGATCACACCCACACAGGGTTTAAAGCCTGTGACTCTGCACCAGTCTGTTAGAACTGCACATTCACAACTGTATCACAGAAATAGAAAACTGGTCAAACGTGGAGAATCACTCAACCCTGCCAAGACACAATGTGTCCTTATCACTAAAAACCCAAACCTGCAGTCAAACAATGTCAACCTTACACTTAATAACCAGAAAATAAACATTAGTAACACAGCAACGTTCCTTGGGCTAACTTTCCAGCAACATGACCTGGACAAAACACATCGATTACCTGGAACAAAAAGCAAACGATAGACTGAACCATCTCAAAGTCCTCTGTGGAAAGCATGGCGCATTATCCTCAACAGTCATCAAAGTCTAACTATCATACATCCGACCACTTCACACTTCACAATACTCTGTATTGGATCTGGATCACCATCTTCGACAACCAACTCCAACGTCTGCAACTGGCACACAGACTCTTAAGCCTGATTTATGGTCCTGCATTGACTCAATGACGTCGCTACGTTGTTGCCGTGACGCCGTCGTGAACCCTTCGAACTTCTCCGTCACTCCGTTTCATCGCGGTGCAATTCACCGCCAGAGCGGTAGGAGGTTGCGTTCCTTTCCTGAGTGGTTGTCGTCATCTCTAGTTGATTCTTTGTTTAGCTTCCGGCTTTTCCGGTCACAGAGAAATGAACGCGGAGCACGGACAGACGGCTCTGGCCGTATCCATATCCGTATTGAACGTTGAGCATAATGGCATATATATAATGAGCCTTAATACTGCAACATCTACATCGCAACAGAAGATGTTTAAAGATGGCGGGGATGGCGCAATCTGGAAATACGGAACCGGAAATGCGTTGCTACCAAGCAAACCAATCACAGTCCTGCTGGTTTGCGCTGGGTCTGCGTCGCCTCGACGTGTAGTTACATTTTTGGGGAGGTGCACATCAGGCTACGCCGGGGGCTACGGCGAGCCTTCTGCGTAGCCCCATACCCTACGACGTAGCGACGTCGTTGATTCAATGCAGGTTCATAAATCAGGCTTTACAGACACCAAACAATAGCACAGAGATATTTGAAGACTGCGTCCAACAATCCTGCCCTCCAGAAAACCTTACAGGAAACAGATGTAACAGCTGCCAACCCCTGTCATTCATTCTACAGCTGGCCAAATCTCTCCAACCACCCAACCCACCATTACCAAGTAATCAACTATACTATTCCACCACTGCTGCCTAAAATCACCTACATGCACACATACACATTAATGTAAATAACACACACCACACACACACAAGCCCCCCCATTCTCTCTTCCTTTCCATCTGTCCTCCTCTTGTTTCGTGCCTTGGTCTACATGTATCCTCAAACCTTTAAAGTTCTTTTGCTTCTTCCACCTCTGCCATCAACCAAGACCACCAACGATGGATAGAAAAGGTTAGAAGCCCTGAGCTATCCCACCAGGCTCATGGTCTACTATTTGTTAGTCCGTGAGAACTGAAGAAGCCTCTTTGATGAGAGGTGAAACGTCTTCAAGAAACTCAAGCAAGTCCAGTTGCTTACAATATACCACTTAGGATTACCATGACCTGAGAATCTTCACCAACCTACCAAAACTACCTTTATTCAGCATAAAGGTATAGCAGTACCTACGCTCCACAACCCCACCCTCTTGTCCAAATATGGTCACTTCTGGCTTCAAAAACCAAGATGGCGACGACCTAAATGCCAAATTCAAGGCTTTAAACAAGTAGTTCACAAACCAGTGAGCGACAGCTTGGTCTATGTCCATTTCTTTGACACAATCTATGCCCAAAATAACCTTTCATCTCCCTGTTGATGTTTTGAAGTGAACAGAGTTTACAGTTGGGTGCAGGGTGAAAATTTATTTACAAGTATATAACAAGTTTATCTTTTTTCCAAATTCCTTAATTGTCACTACTAATATATTTATCAAAGCTGTTGTGTTTTCCTCGGTTGAATATGATTTGGTGGTTCTTTGGCCGACAGATCTAGTTGGTGAGGTTAAACTTTACACAAATTAACCATGTCATGTTGGTGTGATGATTGGTTCAGTAGTTTAAATGGCTGGCACACAGACAACCCAAACAAGCTGAGTAATAGAAAGACATTAAATTATCGTACCTCTCCTTCTGTTTGTAGAAAAGATGCCCAATTTGATATTCGTCTTGACCCAACACGGAGGCCACCTTGGCTTCTTTGAGGGAGCCATGCTGTTCCCTCAGCCCCTCACCTGGATGGACAAGATCATAGTTGAGTACACCGACTCCATCTGCCACTGGGAGAAGAACCGACCGGCCTGCCAGAGGAGCAGCCACCAGGACATGAACTCCTCCTGCCTGCAGAGCACAGGGGCGACAGTCAGTGGGTAACATACTGTACACAGACGTCTGGAGACAAAACAACAGACTAAAACTACAAAGTCTTGTATTAACTCCTGCATTGCTGTGCTAATGGCTTTACGGTTTAGTAAATAATTCTGGGAAAAGTAGGAAATCACTGATTGGATAAGAAGAAGCTGAGTGGAAGTGGGTAACACCAAGCTATACACTGAAACCCACATTAGACACCTGTAACAAGACCCCATGGTGAACTGGTTCTTCCTCTTGTTCCCAGTTAACCTCCAGTGTAACACGAGTTCACCCTCTGCAGGTTTTTGGCAGCTGCTGCTTCTTGAGTCTGGAAAGCAGTGTGATATAATTAGTGGGGGACATACTGATATCAGAGAATGAATGTGACCTTTGACCTGCATGTAGAAAGAAGAGAAATGTTTGTTTTTCTACTTGAATTAAAACTGAAAACTTTCCTACAAAACTTAAATATAAAGTCAGATTTGGCAGCTAAAATAAATTAAATCATTCTCAAAACTGTAAGTTTATCTTAGTGTGAAGGACACAGTCTGAAGCCTTAAACCTTTAACCATAATATACTTTAAAATATACGTGAAAACCCACATCAGTTAAAGTTTGAAGAATTATATTTAGGGTTGGGTCCCATACTCGCAACTTTTAAGGGTGTGGACTTACATAACATTAGTACTACCAAATACTGATCTGCGTCAAATTGACTTGTGCCAAATTTTAGTACCATAAGCCCCCAGACACTTTCGGTATGGTACCTTTGGAACCAAAAGTCACCCTTCAGACATGGTACCTAGACCCTAGGTCCATTTAGCGTTTCCACTGCAAACAGTACTCTTAAATGTGGGCGGGGTTGTTGTTTATCGTCTACAGAACGAAGCTGCACACCGACATTTTCAAAACAAAATAGAACAGGCTCAGTGAGTCTCTCTCCATGGGATATTTAAAAATAGCGGGTTTGTGCATTTAGTCCTTCTCAGGCAAGCTCAGGGGTTTAGTGTTGCTGGAGCCCACAGGAACGAAGCTCTGTGACGCTTTTTTTCCCCTCAGAGTGAGGATTACAATATATGCAGTTCACATAATCCAGTTGAAATGAATATATATTTTTAAAGGCTTGAAGATCCGAGCGTCTGTCATCCAAGAGTGAAAATAAAAACTAATGCAATGATGAAAATTGTCATATTGAAATTTAGGGTGTGCTGATGGATTCGTCAAATCATCAAGCAAAGTGACCGTCACTATTGACCAATCAACAGACTGCAGTGTTCACAGCTCCACCTTTTAGTACCAGATCTGTGTGCTAGGTGCCCCAACAGAGGGGGGACCAAAAATGGGGACGGTACAGAACGGTTTCATTGGTACCATCCACAACTTTTCACAGAGGAAACGGAAAAAAAGCATTCCAAACTGAACCGTACCGCACTGCTTGTTGGAAATGGGGTTTTTGAGTACATTTAGGTGAAAAAGTAACTTAGAGTATAGAGAAAGAAAGAAAGTGAGAGAGGAAGACTGTGTCACCCCTGCAGCTTGTTGAAGTCACAGTGAGTCAGGGCAACAGCAAACCAAAAGCAGTTACATTTTTACAACTGAAACTACACTTTTGTTTGAGTGTAGAGTACCGAAAAATGGTACCATTAGGTACTGGAGTTGTATTCCGTGTTCTGGTACCGTACCGGTATTGGTTTAAATGTGACCAGTACCCAACCCTAATTAATGATTCCAGATTTAAACTTGTAAAGTTCATGACCAGATTTAAGTGCCTTAATATGAATATGAATCTGCAACATATTTGGTTTTTGGGCTTGTGCTACCTCTGATCAGCAGCAGCATGACACGATTTATGGTTTACAGTAGTGATTTTCAGCTGTTGCTCAACATAACATCTGTCCTGTTGAGTCAAACTGTAAATTAAATTTCCTTGAAGGTATACTATGCAGGAATTGTCCATTAGTGTCTGTAAAAAAATGGCCAGGAAAAAATGATTTACTGTTTGGAACGAGCTTTGTCTGCTTGACGTTGTGCCTCGTTTTTTGTCTTTTCGGCGCTCTGTCTGTGGTTTTCATAGCTTTCTCTTGGATGCATGCTGCTTATTGTCGGACACCAAGTTGCTACATTTTTATAAAGTCCAGACCTCACGTGCGCGCTGTTCCCAGGAACGTGCCGACCTCAGCAAAATAATAAAATACAGGCAGTGTAGTCTCTGCGATTTTATGAGTCTAAACAGTTTTTTAGGAAAATCCTGCATAGTATATCTTTATATTGGTATAAAATGATCTTGTTAGTTTCCATTAAGATAAGTCTTCAGTTTCATTGCTGGAAAAATGGGTTAAATAACACCCAGTTTGGTTTATTTGTATATATTGAGGCATAATTTGACTCCAGTTTTGCACTTTGCATTTCCATTGTATGCAGTGGACCATTAGCCGGCACTGTTGCTGCTGACATTCAAAAAAAGGAATCAGGATGTCAGGTTTTCAAAGAGATTATATAAAGTTATATAGAGTTATAAAAACGCAGACAGACAGTAAGAATGATGTTTAATTTTCTGTGTTGTTGAATAGAAATGCGGTCACTTCAGATGAGCTAGTGTCAATATTGTACTGCTCCAGGTCAGCTTGTCCCATTCCATGAATTGCTGCAATAGCTTGAGGATGGTGGTCAGACGGTACAATTTCCCTGAATGCAGCTGTTAACTCCTAACTGCTTATCACCAACAGAAAAGGTCCTTTCAGAATTTAGGACACAAGATACTTAAAATGTCTGCATGACTGTTGAGGACAGAGCCGGGTCAAATTGTGTTTACAAACACTTTGAACAGAGAGGAGAGGAGAATGCATATGGGACACGAACAGTGAGTGTATTATTTAACAAATCCAATTGTGGACTTTCAGTTTATATACTTACCAAACAAATGGACCAAAGCACTCTTCACTTTTCAACAAAAACTTTTAACTTTGTAATTTTTAGTGATTCTGGAGCATTTTGGCCACATGTAACTCCCCTAAAGACAGGGACATGGCCTCGGCTCAAATACAATGGAGGTCTCATATCAGACATTACTTTCAACAAGGGCTTATTGATACGTTTCATAAGTGACCAAGGTTTTTTGGGGTTTCTTTTAAGCTGCTTATTATTGCTCCATACCAGGTGGGTGGAGTTTGCTATGAAAAACAAATTAATACAGTGAAGAGAAGAGAAAAGACTGAAATCTTTCTTGGATTAAAGGGACAGTTCACCACCAAATCGAACATATTCTTCTGTCACCCGTAGTGCTGTTTATCAGTCTAGATTGTTTTGATGTGAGCTGCAGAGTATTGGAGGCATCAGCCGTAGAGATGTCTGCCTTCTCTCGAATATAATTGAATTTGTTGTCACTCAACTTGTGATGCCCAAAGCACCAAAAAAAAGCCACAGAAACCTTCTGAGAATTGATACAGTTGGTGTCGTTTAGGAAACAGAAAATAGTTCCCAGATTAAACTGCTCACAACAAGGTCTGTGGATTATCTTGAATAACCGGGTCATGGTTTCTGGAAAGAGACATTGCTGTTGATTTCTTCAAATGTATTTTTGGCACTTTGAGCACCACAAGCCAAGTGCCATCTAGTTCCATTATACTGGAGAGAAGGCAGACATCTCTACAGCCCATATCTCTAGCACCAGGCAACTCACACCAAAACAGTTTAGGTTGATAGAAAGCGCTACAGGTTAGAGGAAAAATACATAGTGTGGATTGTCGTACCTTGGATTCAGGAGGAGCAAAGCAGATTCTGTCCTGGCCGTGGAACAGTGGACCAGCTCTTTACCCTTGCAGGGCTGGTGAAGGGGTCATGGGAGTTTGCCCATCCAGTCCACATGTGCTTTGTGGGCTTGGAGAAGGCTTACGACCGCGTCCCAAGGGTCTTGTGGAGGCTACTCTTGGAATATAGGGTACCAGGGTTGCTGCCATGAGCCATCCAGTCCTTGTATGACTAAAATGAGAGCTGTGTCCACATACTCGGCACAGAGTCAAATACGTTCTCAATGGGTGTTGGCCTCCGCCAGGGTTGTCCCTTGTCTCTGATTCTATTGATGATATTCATGGACAGAATCTCAAGGTGCAGCCGGGGGGAGGAAGGAGTCTGGTTTGGTGACCTCAGAGTTGTATCTCTGCTTTTTGCAGATGATGTGGTTCTGTTGGCTTCACCTTGACCTCCAGCATGCACTCTGGTGGTTTGCAGCCAAGTGTGAAGCGGTCAGGACAAGAGTCAGCACCTCCAAGTCTGAGGCCATGGTTCACTGCTGGAAAATGGTGAATTGCTGCTTCTGGGTTGGGAGTGAGTTACTGCCCCCAGTGAGGGAGTTTAAGTATCTCGGGGTCTTGTCCGGCTGTGCTGGACTGTTGTGGTGAAGAGGTAGCTGAGCCGGAAGGTAAAGCTTTTGATTTACTGGTCTAGAGCCGCTGCTCCTTCACATCAAAAGGGGTTGGTTGAGGTGGTTCAAGCATCTGATCAGGATCCTCCTGGGCACCTTGGAGGTGTTCTGGGCATGTCCACTGGTAGGAGGCCCCGGGGCAGACCCAGAACTTGCTGGAGGGATTACACATCTCGTCTGGTGCTTTGGGGTCCCCCAGGAGGAGGTGGAAAGCATTGCTGGGGAGAGGGACGTCTGAAACACTTCACTCAGCCTGCTGCCCCCCCCCCCCCCCCCCCCCCCCCCCCCCCCCACAGCTTTGGATAAGCGGTTGAAAATGGATTGATGGATTTTGGGGTGAACTGTCCCTTTATAAAACAGAAGACATAGGGAAACTACCACACAAACTTACCTCTGTTATGTCTCATGATACAGTATATTTCCATAAGAAACATTTTGACAAAGGTCTCAAACACTGAGAAATTCAGAATTTTATGTGCAGAAATATTTTGTTTCCTGTGGTTTATTCTGGGCCTCCAGTCGAATATGAGTCAGTTTCCTGTGAGTAACATCCTGTCAGACGCTGTAAATAAATGCAGAGAACTCCACCCAAGTTCATGCAAGTCTTATTAATCAACATTTAAACCATCATGTTTAATACAACTTTCTGTAATTATAAAGCCTAATATAACCTGCAGCAGCACCACTTCTGTGTCTGTATGTGCAATATGTCCTGACTGTTTGATATATGGGCTGCTTTTCTTGCACTTTACTGTCTTTACAGTTCTTATTGTTCTGTTTGGGAATATAGTGGGTGTAACATTTATAATCTAATCTTAATGTTTTGTTCTGACATGGTGCACAGTCATGACTGATTAGTAATATTTGAACTCACCCATTAATAAATATTTTTCACATAAATTCTTTTTGGTCTGATTATTATAACCTACTCTAGGTTTTTCTTTTATAGTGGTAAAATTAGCGTTTAAAACATCTGTCAATCCATCACTTTGGTTTAGACTGAAATATCTCTACAACTGCCATGAGACTTTGTACAGACATTCATCATCCATGACTCATACTGACTTCGAAATTTCCGTGACTTTTCCTGTAGCACCGCCATCAGTAAATGTAAGCATGCTGGTTGGCATGTTGGCACTCTAAACTAAAATGGTGGGCCTGGTCAACATTACACCAGCTTAATATCAGCATGTGAGCATTGTCATTGTGAGCAGCACAAATTTTTTCCCCAACAGTGAGCGTGCTCCTTTTCTTACAGCCACAGCAATGTGGCCACATGGAGGCATCACTGTAAAATATGGATCTGTCAGAGTGGTTAATAGGGTTATTACCAGCCAATCACAGCACAGTAAAGCAGAACTTGGCAGAACACTCCCGGGGAAAAAAATGAACGCTTGTGAACACGTTAGCGGGCTGCAGCATTTAGCTTAAAGCGCCACAGGGCAGCCCCAGAAAGCCGCCAGCCTTGTTGCTGACTCTGTCTTGTTTAGATTGCAGATAGATGCAAAGACTACACTTCATATTTATATACAGTTTATTGTACATTTATTGACATTCTTATTGGTGCACCAGGGTAAAACTTCATAATATTCATATGAATGAAGAACAATCTAAAAAATACATGAGAGACAGGCACTTGTTGGAATATCAGCCTTGTACTTCAAGGAGGGACGGACAAACAGAGGGTGGAAACTCAGAAAGCTGGAGCCTGCCAGTGTTCAAACAAGCTGTGTGGATGAACTGTGGTCCGAACAAAGCACAATTTAACAGGTGTGAGATGGTTAATCTCAAAGACGGGGTAAGTGCTCTCATTTGGCTTAATGTGGATCAGCCTGTGTGTTTTGACTTAATATTTTAAGAATAAAAAACTTAAATGTATCTGAAGGGTCAAAGAAGTTACATATATTTTACAGTAATGCTGACTTTTTCCCAAAGCATGCCACTTTAGGTTCAGTACTGCCTCCTGGACAGCCACTGGCCTCCATTCATTTGAATATGGTGTGAAATTCAACTTGCAAAGCCTTAATAGTGAACTGGTGTGAAGTGAGGCTAATCTTAAATCATACTATCAATGCTTTAGAAAACAATCTGCAAATTAAGTATGCAGTATGTAGTATGGGACTAGAGGCACTGGCAGATTTACACCATTAAATCTGCCAGTGCCTCCAGTCCCATACTGGGTAGAGATCTGGCTTTGGTTATCAGAGCTAAAAATGAGAAACTGTTAGGTGTTAAAGTGTCGACCAAATGGTTGATAGAGAATAATGTGGTTTACTGTTGGACTGTGTTTTGTGAGGACCTCTGGAAAACAACACCATCTGAGTGTTTCACACACTTTCATTCATATTTTTTTCCTACAACCACACAGCTAGATTTGGGCTTTGAGTCTCCACAGTCTGTGGGGGGGTTTGTTATACATAATGGCTCTTCGCCTGGTTTGGCGCAAAGGGATGGAGGAGGCTTTAGTCGAACAGCTTGGCTGCTGCGCCCTTGCCGTCGTACTTGGCACCTTTTCCATCAAACTCAGAGGGAAGGATGTCGGCATCAAACTCCTTGTAGTAGTTTTCCAGCTCGTCTCCGTGGACGAACACCTAGAGCAGAGACAGCAGCTGTTAGAGACATTTGAGACTGTGGGAATTTTCAGCACCCCACTGTCCAACATGTAAGTAAGTGGGAATTTGAGTGTAATACCCTGCGATGGGAAGTCTTTATAAGCTTAAAATTCATTTGCCCTGCTTGATCCTGTCCCTTTAAAAACCTTGTCAGCACCCCAGGCAGACTGGGTCCACACATCCCTCATGCTGGGGAGAAAATGTATAATAGCAGAGCGGAAGGTGATCAGCTTACTGCCAGCCAGGGTGTGGTTCTCCCAACTGGGTATTGTGGCTGCACACGAGGGCCTCTCCTTTAGGCTTATTAGTCAGGTGGAGAAATACTAAGCTAAGTGGGCAAATTACATCCTCTTCATTCAAGGTCCCTGATGTAACTGTATAATAACATACTGGCTCTAATCCACCAATATCAGTGTGATCTCACATGCAGTTTCTCAGTAAATTGATCAAAGTCTGAGGTGCTCTCTCAGTTTTGACTGTTTTCTCTAACTTGATTGTATCTCACAGACTGAACTAAGGAGAAGCAGTGTTGCAGTCAGTCATTATCATTGAATCATCTGTCTGACTCACTCTCTCTAGCAGCTTGCTCTTCATGAGTGGTTTGACCACATTGTAGGTGGTGGTGAAGTACCAGGGCTGGTGGATGAAGTGCACAGCTTTGAAACGGGCAGGGAATGAGTCCTGGTGGGAAAAGGAAAAAGTAAGATGATGTGGTGATAGACAGTAACTCTAAATAAAGACCTCACTGAAGAGTCCTGCAGAGAGTAAAGAAGAAGAAGAAGATATACTTTATTCAATTTTTTTCATTCTGTTGTCATATACACACAGGCCTGGAAAAATAACACACATGCACAAACAGGACCTATACATGCTTTAAATTGAGACTTCGGTTCGGTGCCGCCTAGGAGGCAAGCTGGCACCTCTCCAGCTACCAATCCACATATTTGGTCCAGACGGGGACTTAAACTGGCAATCTTTGGTTCCCAACCCAAGTCACTATGGACTGAGCTACTGCCACCTCAAGGTTGACCACTGAGCTCTTAAAGGTTGATCAATGACACCTGGGTGTAAGGACAGGGAAGAGCTTTTTGTAATCTAAACACACCTGATTCTCTAACCTGCAAACTGCAATCAAACATGAGGAATAATCAACACAATCTTCTGTAAATCAAACCTATATATCCACTTAACTCGAGCATCTAGCCGTCAGCATCTACAATCTTGAAAAATGAAGGTATAATACCAACTAAACCTAAAATGTTAAATGGCTTTTTGTCTCTAGAATATCCATCTCTCCCAGCCTTCATTCTGCCTGTAGTAACAGACCAGAGTGTAGATTCTCCCACCTGCAACATGTCCACCATCTTCTTGAGCTCGGTGGGTTTGATTCCTGACGCCTGCTGCATGGTGAAGCCCTTGAAGTTCTCAATGATGCAGAACCCGTTGATCTGAGTCTCCTCGTTCTCCAGCAGCTTCTCCAGGATCACACAGTAAGCACGCAGGATCTGAAAACACACACAGGTTAATTAATTCTGTACTGATCTTAATCTTACTGATACTTGTAATCAAATCAGAACTAATTTAAATGAAAAGTGAGTTTGGTAATATGTATATCTAGGTGCATTGTGGGACATGTAGTCACCCAGAAAAGGGCCTGCTTACCTCATCAAATGTGATCTCCTCATAGTCCCAGTTCTCAATGTTGAAGAGCAGAACCACGCGGCCATATTTGTCTCTGCTTGGCAGGATGCCGGGGTAGCCGGCTTCGATGGTGCTGCGTACGGCCTCCGGGGTCAGATTCTCAAACAGCTCGGGGTAATCCTTCCTGAAACGCACGTAGCCTGGGTGGAAGCACGGGAGCAGATTATACAGTCACACTAGGCTGTAAGTTTGATAGTTCTTCATATTAAGTAGTGACAGGGTTTCATTTTAGTTGCTCAATAACACTTAGAATATTTATTCATAAATTTAAGTGCTTTTTCTATTCATGATAAAACAGGTCAAGTTACACTGTCTCTAAAGTAATGAGTTTCAGTTGAGAGTTTCCCATGATGATATAAATGCTTTTTTAGCATGAAAATGACCAGGTGTACATTTTGGGTCATTATTTTGTCATTGTCAGAATGTATTCATTGGTGTTAGCTTTTTAAAACATATCATTTGAAGCTTGTTTGCGATTTATTTTGTTAGTTATTGTTGAGGGACTATGGAACAGTGTGCCTGTCTGTCCATCGTTTTATTGCACACACCAGATTCCAGATTTTGAATGCAGGACTTTTACTTTTAACAGGGTGTTTTAACGCTGCAGTATTGCTACTTTTACTTTAATTAAAGATCCAAGTACGTCTTCCACCTCTGCTCATACCGTACAAAGACATTAACATGTTTACTGTAGCTTTCTTTGGTGCTGGATTCATTTGGTAGTGCTGATGGGAAACAGTCCTGTCAGTATGTTCATGTCTGCCGCTTCAAACTGTGTCCAACGTACCCTTCATCAGGTCAAAGGCTCTGGGCATGTCGTACTTCCTGGCGCGGATGAAGCGGACCAGCAAACTGTCTGGTTTCTCCCCAAACGTGTCCTGCACGCCCTTGGCCAGGTCGTCTCCTGCATCTGCCTTCTCCTTTATCATCCCTCGCAGCTCCTTCACCGCCGACACACGCTTCTCATCTGTCTCGTTCAGCTCATCCTTGGCCTGAAGGGGGAGCCACACCAGACAGTTAGCTCACAGTTTTGATAGCTTTACATAGTTCTGTGACATAGCTGCCCTGATATTCCGTCCATTGTCACCTCATGTTAGCCATTCTGTTAGTGAAGAACTCATGTTTGTCCTCACAAATTCACCCGCTCGACTCAGCACTGCTGTGTTATCCTAGACAGCTGATACAATTCATACAATGCTAGCAGGCTAGCCTAGCCACTCTTTTGCCCTCTGAGTCTGCTATTTTGTATTTTTATTGCATTCTTTTGAAGAAAATTAACTTACAGCAAAGTACAACAGGTGGGTTTCGACAGGAGCTACTTAAGGGCAGCAAGAACAGAACAAAAACTGTAAATCTTAAGTGTCAGCGTAGCCAGGATCACTTTAGTTTCTTGCGTCTGCTGACACTGCATGATGAACTCAACTCTCTTAGTTTAATTTCTCAATTTCTAAATTTATCTTATATTTATAACACATTATAATCAGTGATATACTGAACTACAATGATTCAACTCTTGAATGTAACTTTGTTTTGTGCCCTGACTTGGTAATGTCAGAACAGCTGTGGTTACCTTCTGCTTGGTGTGGTCCGGCAGGCTGGCGCAGGGTCCAAACACTGGTCCGTGGTCCTTGACGGTGAGACGTTCCAGCTTGGCCCTGAGAGCCTGCTCCTCTTCCGACACCATACGGTAAGTTCCACTCTGAAAAGAGAGTGTTAATGTAAAAACAGATGACTCGCTAGGATCGACAGTACAGCTTGGTTGTGCACTTACAGGTGTACACAGACACAGAGAGGTACCTTTCATGGCAGTATGACACGCACCAGTGAGCAGCAGCTTGTATATAAAGAGCGAGAAAGACTTTATAGGGTGGGCAGAATCAGAGGTGGATGGGTCATCTAAAATTGCTTTACTGGCGCCTGTTCAGAACCTGACCATTGGTACCAATACTAAAACAAGCCTTTTTTTTTTAAATTTAAAATAAGAAGCCACTTCTTAACTACTGAATGCTGTCCAAACACAAGCAGCCATATAAGAACTTTACATTCAGTAAATATCTGATTAATTAATAGAAAAGACAAATCTGACCAGACACTGACAAAATTTGACATCAAAAAAGTAATGAGGTTTGATACCCAGCCTGACAAGTTGCAAAGAACTAGTGGCTATGAAGGCCAACTGCTGGGTTGCCTCATGTTGACTGTGTCTCGGCCAAAAAGTTGCACCTGAACACACAAAGACTACAGCGAACAGTCAACTAGCATGTACGTTCTGCACTTGCGTGAGAGGAAATAACTCTCCATAGCAGCCCGCAGCAGCAGTCTGTATTTGTCATTTGAAAAGGGAAACCAACAGGACGGATTTGAGATGCTCCTTGACGACCCGACACTGACCAATGGCTGACAGTTGGCTTGGTGTGTCAGGGACCTTCGGGTCCAAAGCTATTTCTGTTTTGTTAAACTAATTGAAGTCAGAGTAAAACAGCCCTGAATCCCACAGGACTCAACACTAACTTTTAAAAGTGGTTGCCAGGCTGGGAACCACAGGTTTTGGTCGCTGAATCTGACCATATCGTTGCCATTTTTAGTCACCTTATATTACAGATTCAAAGATACAAAGCAGTTATACGTCCGCTTATTAATAAAAATGTGACAAAAGGATGTTTAAAAGCTTTATTACAGTAAGCAAACTTTGTAGTTTGTGTTGTATCTTTGTTCAGCTTCATCTGGTTCTTGTCAGCTCAATCAGTGTGCATATTTGTTTGTGAGGTTGAAGGGTTAGTCACACTTACCACCACAGTTAAACAGCTTAATTTGATTCACCATTGTCTCTACAAGAGATGCACACAAACGCATGTGCAGCATTGTCATGTGGAGGGCCCGGTTCCAACTGTTGCAGCAATATTCAAAGATTACTAATGCAACACACACAAACTTATATAATTTTGGGGTGCTCATTTTGCTGTTTGCTGTCTCTGTTTTTTGTATGTTAAGGCCAGGAATTGGTTGTCAATTTCTCAAAATGGTTGCCAATGGCAACCTGGCAACCTGCTGAGCCCTGGAATCAGATATTTATCTATAATAATAACAACTGCCTCTGCTCAGCAGGCTGCTGCATTATTGACCTCACCTGAATAGGTGTATTCTGCAGTGGACAGTTTATCATAGCAGCAACATCACAGGTGTTATTAATAACATTAATAATGGATGCGTCCCATTAAGCTGTGCCAGTTTCAGGGCCCTGGCACTGTGGGTACTCACTCACTGGCAACGGCTTAGTGCATTTGTACTCTTCCCTGCTGACTGCTGGTCAACCCGGAGATCTAAGTTTGTTTCTACACCTGCATGTTGCTTTGGGTAAAATAACTGTTAATATAATTCTCTCAGAGGACTTGTACTGTGTGAGGAGGTTTAAAACATGGCTGTCCACTAAGTATTGCCAGAGCAACAATCAATAGGCCTCAGTGTTTGATTAATCTCCCTCACATGAGTCCAGTAAAGCCTATAAATACACGGTAAGGACCACTAGTAGAGATTAGCAGCTAAGGCTACTGTAGCCGCTGACGGCACCTTAACAATGGGCTTTGGTGTTGAGAAATGTTGAGCTGCAGCTGAGTCCATGTTACAGCATGATGAATAGGTATTTGTCTTGGCCAGTTACCCAATCACACACAAGCATTTCCTCCTTTAATGTTCCCATTACAGCTCAGAAATCCAAGTAAACTATCAGCACTGATACACTCTCTTTGAGCTAAAACAAACTAACAAATATTTAAGTAAATAAAGGTGCAAATACTTACAACCACAGCCATGTCTTCTGCTCTTTCTATCAGCTCGTCTGGAAGAAAAGAAAAAGGCAGGTAAAAACAAACAATTGACATATTGTGATCCACTTTAATCTCCCTTCATCCCACCCTCCCTGCCATCACAGGGTACTTTGATTTAGCTATATTTAGCACTTCAGCCAGTCCTGGATGGTTTATCAGGTGATTTAATGTCGACAGTCTTTATGTTTCATAATGAACAGGCATGCTGTTGTTGTCCAAGTAGTTTTGTACTAAGAAAAGTTGAGAAATTCAGTTTGTATAATTTGTATTCAACAAGTTGAACCTTAATATTGCCTTTAATTTCCCGTGAAGTGGATTTAAAATAGATAAAACTTTTTTTTTTCGAAGCATGTTGTGGCATCTGCAGTATCCTCTTGTTCTTGTACTAGTGGATTGATCATTTCTCAAATGAAAATAAAAGAATACAACCTCATTCTTTAGCTTTTAGACTTGATTTTAGAAATGCTCAAACAAAACAAGCAATTCAGAGATGTTGCTTTAGTCTTTAGGCAAATGTGGTGGACATATCTGAATACTCTTACCTCACTAAACCTGCATTTTATAGACTAAGATTAATAATAGCCAGCAGATTAATCAATAAAACAACTGTTCCCTAACTTTATGTTAAATACATCATGCTTAAACTGAGGGAAAACTCAGCACACATTTGCATTGCTGCACATTAATTAAAATAGAAATTCTTGAATGTCTTGTTCATCATTTTACACACACATCTCCCTTTAATCTTTGGAAACTTTGAGCATTTTCATATGCAGAGGTTTAGAGAGACTAAAACACCTGTCACCTGATGCACTGTTTCTATAGCATATTTCTAAAGACCACATTTACAGATATCTTTGTATTATAACATAACAATATGCCCATCTGTGGACATTTAAATCCAAAGCTGCAGAACCACCAGCATTTTTGGGATTGTTGGTCCCAGTGGGAATGCAGCTCTGACCCTTGCCGGAGTCAGTCCCATGATGCACCTACTGAGCCAACAAAAGTCTTAACTTGTTTAGATTTAGCACTCAAATCCCTCAAATTACCAGAACTGAATTATTTTTGGGAGTCTCAGTATCCAGTCTTTTGATTTTGTGCCACTCTATAGGATAAAATCAGTGTCTCTGGTCCAAGTCACTGCTCCATTAACAGTTAAACTACAGAGGAACCCAGAGGAGCTGCAGAGTTTGAGAGTTGTACAACATCTGAGGAAATAAAGGAGAAGTGAAGCAGCACATCAGTGGAGGAGTCTTACCTGAGGCAGATGTGAAGTCGCTGGCAGGGAGTCGCAGGGAGCCTGTGTGGAGCGAGGTGGATGGGAGCTGTGATTTGTAGCGTTGGGATTAGTGTCGTCACCAGATTACACCCAACTTTTTTTTCTTCTTTTCAATCAGTATAAAGTGGCAGAGGGAGGGAGGAAGTGATGGCGAGGGTCTGTGGCCAATGGTGGAGGTGCTTCCGTGATGAAAGGCAGGGCCAGTGCACATTTTGGATGATGTAATTTTGAGTGCACACTTTAGGTAAGAGGTGGTTTGAAGGGGGTTGGAGGGATTTGATTGCATTCCAGGGAGACTTGAGTGAAAAGTAGAGCCATTGTGACCGCTGAGTTCCAGTTTGATTTCTGCAACGTGATCGCGCTCGGGTGAGAGGAGGCCTGTATTCAGAGGGTCTGTTGCACATGTTTAGAGACATGATGTTGAAGTTGAATAGGAATTACTGTTTTATATTTGGCTTTATTTATTAATTTTTACTCTGCAAACAAATGGCTGAGATTTAGAATACAGCTTTTGTCTCTACAGGTGACTAAAATCAATATTCATTGCTGCTAATCAGCCGCTGATTTGAGACACTGATAGAACACAACACAACACATACAATATCCTCCTGAGACCAGCACTTTTGTTTGGTATGCATTTTTAATTTCTACTAGCTATTTGGGATTAGGAGGACTTATAAGTAGAAAAACTATATATTGTCAAAGTCCCAACATGTTCTAATCACACACAGGGTCCCGTGTCCTCACATTTTGGGTTTACCTGACCTCATACTTCATTCTGCTTAACTTAGACCTGTTGTCCTCATTCATGGACACTTTTTTGTGCCATCTATTGGTAGTAAGAGCACAATACACTAATCCATGTAAAAACAAGATGGCAGCCATCTCTGCCAAGTCAGCCTGCAGCCGATCCCAACACCAACGTAAACTAGGTCAAACATGATCAGATTTTATGGTTGAAACGTGTTTATTTATGATTAATAATGTATGTGGTTTGATATGGCAACACATTTGACCAATTTAAGCAAAAGCAACAAGATAAGATGCTGTTAATTAGGAAGTACTCATTTGAAGACACTGGGACTATATTATCGTCTTGTTTGAGGACATTGGGACTTAATTGTCCTCTACAGTGTTTAGTTTTTTATACTTATCAGGTTCTACTGATCCCAAATAGCTAGGACATAATTAAAAATGTACACCAAACAAAAGTTTGGGTCTCAGGAGGTTAAGCAAAAAAACAAATCAATACAAATTGCATCCGCAAACCTGTCAAGCTGCAGTTACCGTTTACATCTGTATCTGTCCAGACTCATATGTAGCCATGACAGTTGACAATGCTTCATATATGGATGTTGCTGCAAGGGGCTACAAATTCTAAAACATGGATGCGTCATACACATCTTTAACCCCAGCAGCAAAGAATCCAAGTGAATCCAAGTGTGTCAAATTTAAAGAAAGTCCCTCAAGGTGTTCTTGAGATATCACTTTCATGAGAATGAGACACACAAGGTCACAATGACCTTGACCTTTGACAGAAAATTCTACACATCTTTAACCAGGCAGCACAGAGGATCTATACATCAGCACAGTTTCAAGGTGAGTTATGACGTTGAACAATGGGTGATGTCACAGTGAAGCTGATCTTTGACCTTTAGGTTATAAAATATCATCACTTCATCATTTTATCCTATGAGACATTTCTGATTTAGTGTACAAATTTTTGAGTGTGAGTGAGTGTGTTTTGTGAGGTGACGGTAACCTTTGACCAAAAATTCTTATCAGTTTATTCTTGTGTCCAAGAGGATGTTTGTGCCCAATTTGAAGAAAGTGTTGTTGAGATATTGCTTTCACAAGAATGGGACAGATGGATATACCCAAAACTTAGTGCCTCCAGACACAGCTACCACCAGTGCAGAGGCACAAAAACTAGCTTTTGCTTTGTTTTGTATTGTTGTAAATTGAAAATCTTTGGTTTGAACTGTTGGTTGGAAAAAAACAAGACAGTTTGGAAATGTCAAATTTGAAATTGTGATAGTAATTTTTTTCTCTATTTTTTAACGTTTTATAGATGATAAATCAAAGCATAATAGTTAGTCTAATCAAGAATGAAAATAACTGTTAGTTGCAACCTCCACTGCTACAAGGGAAAGATAATTAAACACATTCCGACTGAGGAGGAAAACTTTAAAACCATTGCACACCAGAAATATCCACACACACACACACACACCCATGTGCACACACACACACCAACACACAGGCACAGGGATTTGGATTTAGACTTAGCTGCATTCATATCAGTAAACATGGACCTTAAATGATCCACAGTTCCCTGCGATCAGATTAGTTCTCACACACACATTATATCAGCATTAGGAGCTGAGAGCAATATAAAGGTTTATATAATGTGATCAGTTCTGTGAGAACTTCATCTAATCGGACACACATGCACTCGGTCGGTGGTTGAGTTAAAAAAAACCCTGTAGATTAATCTTTAGTAATTGAGCAACAGAGAGGTGTGCATTAAAATAAATGAACAAAGAGCCACTGGACAGTAAATACAACACCATACTGTAACTGTAGTAGTTTTTGGTTTAGTTTAATTTTAGTTGCTATTATTAAGTGAAAATGATGATTTTTCTGTCTTATATTAATATAATGTATTATTTCAAGACTGTGTGACCTTCAATCAGTTGAGAAAAGTCTACAACATTTGGTTTAGACTGTTTCACAGTAGAAACATAATAACTTCAACATCATGTCTCATAATAATTATTTTCTGCTGTTTCAGACATCATTCACAGCTCAAAAACACATTTGTGCATTAATTTACTGAGTGATCCTCAAACACATCCTGAGCTGCAGGAAAAAAATGAGTGGTTACTCTGTTTAATCAAATGGAGATAAAAAAAATTGTTGGGTACTCTTGGAAAACAGGAAAAAATGGGATAAACAGGAAGGCAATCAGGAAGACAAAAATATAAAAGGAACTAGAATTATTGCTTCGCAGTTGTATGCTTCCATGAACCTGTCAAGTTACAGTTACACATGTCTGGAAAAAAAGGACACTTCACACACATCTTCAACCCGAAAACACAGAGGATCTATACAGTCAGCACAGTTTCAATTCAGTATCTGAGCAAATGTCTCCCCTTTTGTTCCTGAGTTAGTGCATTGAATAATTGATAATAAATTGAATAATGGCCAGAACAGGTTTTTGCAGAACGTTATGATGTCACAGTGAGGCTGACCTTTGACCTTTTGGACTGAAAATGTCATCACTTCATCATTTTATCCTCTTTGACATTTCTGTGCAATTTTGTCATAATTAGTGTATGAATTCTTGTGTTTTGGCCCAAAATGTGATTTGTGAGGTCACAGTGGCCTTAACCTTTGACCACCAACTTCTAACCAGTTTATTCCTCAGTCCAAGTTGACGTTAGTGCCAAATTTGAAGAAATTCCCTTAAAGTATTCTTGAGATATTGTGTTCATGAGAATGATGCTGTGTTCGTTTTGTACTTGGAGGTCGGAAATTCCCAGTTCCCAGTCAGAAGTTTAAACTCGAACGCACGAGATCAGATTTCCAACTCAGAAACTCGGAGCAACCGCATCAACCTCGACTTACGAATTCAAGATGGCTGCCGGTCACATACATAGTGAGTAAACACTCTGCTAAAGTACTGTTTATAGCAATTGTATCTTATTTGTTTTACATTAGGTCAGCCTCATCTGCGGTGTTCATCAGTTGGAGTGCATGATGGTTTTGAAGCTGTCTATACTCCGAAAGTACAAGGGCAACAAAGGCTTTCTTGCAGGTGTCCATGTTTTTTTCTTGCTTGTCCACCATCATCAACTAGAATGCAAAAACTGTTGTCAAATCAGAGGTGACGTCATTCCCACGAACGCAGCATTGGTCCTCAGTCCAAGTTGACATTGGTGCCAAATTCGAAGAAATTCCCTTAAGGCATTCTTGAGATATTGCGTTCATGTGAATGAGACACATGAGGTCACAATGACCTTGACCTTTGACCTCTGACAGAAAATTCTGATCAGTTCACCACTGAGTCCAAGATGTTTGTACCTAATGTAAAGAAATTCCCTAAAGGTGTTCTTGAGATATTGCGTATACGAAAATGAAAAGGAAGCAAGGTCAAAGTGGTCTTGACCCTCGTCCACCAAAATGCTATCAGTTCATCGTGGAGTTAAAGTGGACAGTTCTGCCAGATTAGACAAAATTCCCTCAAGGCTTTCACAAGAATGTGATGGACGTAGAAACCGAAAACATAATGTCTCCAGCCTCGGCTATTGCTGGCACAGAGGCATAAAAATATCAATGAGAATGGACATACTAAAAAACATAAATATATTAAATGATTCAATTTGTTTTTTCCTGTCATGTTATCTGGGTCATGTGATCCCATTGCCTCCCATTGGTTGTTGCTACTATAAGTGAGACCACACCCGTGCTGTTTGTTTAAAGCTCTGATGAAGACCTAGTGTCTAAACATATTGGCTCTTCTAATGATTTAGTCACTACAATAAAGGCGTTATAGATTTCCTTCCTGGTTACATATTTCTTCTTATATTTTGGAATACCTGGATCGTCCATCCTGGGTTGCAGTCATGGTACCACAGATCATATGAACATATTCTCTCCATTAGATCCCATTTAAAGGTATCTCTTGACAAGACAAATACAACAATATTTCATCAAACGTCCTCACAGCTGCTGGACCTGATCTGTGAATGCTACAATCCTTCAGTGAGCATCTAAACATCCAGGTCAGCAGAACGACCATGATTTTAGTAGTTTATTATAAATAAGGAGGCTTAATTTTGATTTAAAAGATCTCATTTCCGCCTCTCTCCTTCTGTACATTGAACAGTTAACGGACACATCGATGCAGCTGGTTGTTCTCTTGTGTGGTTAATGTTTGGGAGTCGTCCATCTTCCTCTCTCTGACCCTGGCAGCTCTGATGTCACCAACACACGTTTTCCTCCTGATGCAACTTTGGAAAAAAACACAGGCAGCCGACTGTTAATCTGCTAAATCAGGCCTGATCTTACTCGATAAAGCGATTTGGGGAACAAAATTAGATGGATTGGACAAAACAATGCTGCTCTGTGTTTGCTCCCTATAGCCTGAGCTGAGGGGCCAAGTTCAGGCTTTAGGTGTGTGCGCGCGTGTGTGTGTGTGTGTGTGTGTGTGTGTGTGTTCATTGAGTGAGAAAGACAAAAGCACATGGACAAAGCTATTTACAGAGGAGCGTAACAGAATGTACAGCTCCACCTGCAGCTCACTGTGTTTCATATTCAGAGCTGTGCAGCATTTCAGCTCAACAACTCACATGGGTGTGAGTATTTCAGTCACTGGGACTGAACTGGGAACACTGGAAGAGAAGAACAACTGCCATGATTATTGGAAACATGGTGCTTTTGTTTGGCTGCCGTAAGTATTGTAAGCCCAGCTTCTCTGCAGTGGATGTTGTAACCTATTTGGACACGGTGCCATTAGACGATTTCAGATCCTGATCTAGTGTTTGTGACGGACTCTTTCCCAACACTAACAGAGCTGTGGTTTCATGCGTTAATATGCTGCTGCTAACAATGCTGCCGTTAAAGCTGATCTGGCACTGGAACAAGTGGGACGACTGTGACGCCATAGTTTTGGAGTTTTGCCTCTGCAATTAGCGTGACCCGTAACGTAATGAGATACAAGCCAGAAATTATAGTATATATTAGAGGGAACCCTACTGCCCTCAAATATTCAAATATGCTCAAAATATACACCCTAATGTATTGGTCAAAAAAAATCTAAGGAAAAACACTAGAGGACGACAGGCAACCCCACAACAGTCAATTATTACAACAATTATTACTACTGGTTCTAATGTTACGGTGTACTGCAGGTCTGTGTGTTGTTTGTGGAAGTGGTGTTGCCGTACCTGTAGCCCAACAGAAGCTGTTGCTCGACTGCTGTGGGTACAATCAGTATCAAACACTTTACAGTGTCTGTTTTTTAACTTTAAAATGTATTAAAACATGGAAAAACTAGAATGTAATCTGAGTGTTACGCAGGCTGTATCACTGTCAATTATTGTAGTTTTTGTGTTAGAATTTTATGAATAGTGTACGAATTTCAATACACGCAACAAAACGTCATGACTCTACTACTAAGTCCAAGACTTTTCCAGGCCTGGAAAATGCGATTATGAAATTCCATGACTTTCCCAGTTTTCCATGACCTCTAGAATCCTGTCTGTAGAGCTAACAGCAGAGTCAAGTGATAATTCTCTCTGGGGTCATCATGACAAGTAACACATTTTACTTAATTATAAAAATATAGCTGCTTCAAACATTGACTTATTCCATATTTATTGTAGTTAACTCTGCTTTTTGCAGCTAGTGGACCTAAACCAAGAACAGTGGCCTTGCTAGTGTTAATAAATCCCTTGTAATTCACTTATTCTGACTTTTAAAGAAATTATTTAAAGAGAGAGGGGATGACATGCATGCATTTTTGTTTTTCGGGGTATTTTTTCTGTTTTTCTGAGTATTTTTTTTTTGTGAGTTAAGAGAGCAATAGAACAACAGACGCTTTCATTCCTTTCTTGAGAGCTCGATATAACGGAAGCAAATATGACCCACTTGTTTAGTTTAATCCAGTTTTACTTTGTTTTGGGTTTGAGACACTGGGAGATACGCTTGTCTTTAAGTCATATAGATGGGTGTTATCATTAATTTGTCGACTTTACGCAGGCCCCTTCTCTCCCAGTGTCTCAAACCCAAAACAAAGTAAAACTGGATTAAACTAAACAAGTGGGTCATGTTTGCTTCCATTATATCGAGCTCTCAAGAAAGAAATGAAAGCATCTGTTGTTCTATTGCTCTCTTAACTCAGAAAAAAATACTCAGAAAAAAAACAGAAAAAAATACCCTGAAAAACAAAAAAAAGCACAAAACAGAAACAAAATTACCACAAAAAAACAGAAAAAAATTACTCAATAAAACAGATTTTTTTTTATTTGTCAAGTGAATGCAATATGCTTCCATAAAGCACAAAACACTTTTTTTTTTTTTTTTTACTTTTTACATTTACACATAAATGGCACACACATTCATCAAAGAGCAACAGAGGCACAGACAACACTGTGCTGACTGTACTTAACACAGTTAGAAAACATCTTGTGCATCCTAAAGGATGTGCCAGGGTTTTATTTGTGGATTTTACTTCAGCTTTTAACTCAGTGAAGACACATACACTCCTGAAGAGTCTAAATGATCATCACATTAACACAGGATTAGTTCTCTGGATCAGAGACTTTCTTACCTGCCATCCACAGAGAGTCTGTCAGGGGAACATGTCAGATGACACAAGGATGTGTTCTTTATCCTGTGCTATTCCCTATGTTTACTTATGAATCTATGGCAATATTTCAGATTGTTTAAATATGCTGATGACATGGCCTTTGTTGGTCTTTTACAGCAAACGGACCCATCGAGTGAAGCTGCCTACCTGGCCCACACTAAGTCAAACATGGTGTCGCATCAGCAAGTTAGAAATTAATGTGGCCTAGACTGAAGAATTAATTATTTGCCTGAAACTAGATCTGAAGACGGAGCCAGATTCACTCGATGGCCAAATTTTAAATACTTTGGTACGGTTATAAACTCCTGTGTGAGCTTCTCTGGAAACACTGAGTGTATTTTCAAGAGATGCTCACAGCGACTTTCTCTTCTTAGGAAACTCAGTGGCCTTGGTACTAGTCGGCAGATTTCACAAAACTATGGTTCAGAGCATTTTAACTTTTCACTTGGTACGCTCAACCTTACTATACATCTAAGAATAAACTCTTTGGGATTGTAACTATGGCAAGTAAAATAGTTGGCAAGTCACAAAATCCCTTGACCCAACTCTTTACAGAAAGGACGAGGATGAAAGTGATGAGTATCTTAGCAGTTAGCTCCCATCCTCACTTTAGCCAGTATGAGCTAAGTCTTTAAACCAGAGCACATGAACAATAGTGTTAATACGTCCCATTCACTCACTGAAAATAAACAAAGTGTTTCATTTGAACAAGGAGTCACTTTATTAGGACATTTTAAGAGCAGCTTACAGTGAGAGGTAATCAAGTACAATTCACAATATAAAACCTTAAAGGCCACACAAACGTGGAGGTAACTGCAACACTTTAAACACCAAAAATACAGTTTCAACTTGTTTATAAAAATGCTTTTCCCTTTTGAACAGTGAAAAACATTTTTAAAGCTGCAACTTGCTCATAGCAGCCACATTTCCATGTTCTCATGTGAACAGAGACGTTTAAAATCCAAAATAGCTGCGTGTGTGGCCTTGGATCAGACTCATGTCTTAATAATAGTTAAATTTTACCTTTCAAGTAAGAGCAAATACTGTTTGAACTCCAAACTCTTCATACCTTTAGTAACACCCAACTGTAAGAGCACCAACATTTGTCACCCCTTAAACATCAAGTCACAACTAACTCAATAACCAACAACTCCGCAGGTAAATATCTGGTATCACAGCAAAAACTCTGCTGTAAGGAACTCCAACCATGTTTAACATGTTTAAAAGTAATAAGTTAGTGCTTTCATTTAGGCAATAAAGTTATTTTCCCCATAATGAAACAGTACATCTTCTCATAGGACACAATGCAAAATATATTTTCACCTTCTCTCCATAAATGAGCCATTGTTAATTTACTCACATGACTTTTATCCAGACTTGATTTACTGTCGAGATATTTTTATTCACATTATTTATCTGAATCTGCTCCGATGACTGCTCGTCATCATGTAAAGTAATCTGTTGAGGTATTTCCTACCACACATCATTAATACTCTACTCTCATTGGCTGTCAGCTGTGACATCATCAGGCCAGTACTCATCCTGCATGTAGTGGTTTGAGGAGGCGAAGCTCGGCTGGAGCGGAGCATCGTCGTCCCTCAGCTTGTTCTGCAGCTCCTGCTCCCACTCGCCCTCCACCAGCTTGTACAGGTCGAGAGCGGCCAGTGCGTCCTCCACCGAACAGTGACCTCTCCTCCCCACCTGGACAGGTACACACAGACAGAGACAAAAAAATCATGGTGACACTTATGTAATTACATCTCTCGTATATTGTAGTTCTCTTTTTACTTTTGTACTTTAAGGTGGAACATTTACTTGTTGTGCCTTAATGCATGAGCTGACAATGTGAATCTAGGGTCTAGGTACCATGTCTGAAGGGCTACTTTTGCATCAAAAGGTACCGTACTCAAAGTGTTTGGTGGAAATGGGGATAAAGCTTTCTCTGGCCAGGATCCCTGCTGTTTGATTCACCAGTTACTCACACACATTTGTATTACAAGTCTCGCAATAAACTTTAACATATTCAAAGTTCAAATTGGTAAGAAAAAAAAAAATCTTGATGCACATTTTTGTGACACCTTTTAGTAGTTTTCATGAACCCCTTTTGTATCATTAAGTGTGTAACATGAGAGATAAGCTAATTTAACTGGTCAATAATTATCTTTGTCATTTCTAGGAGAAATAAAATCACATATTTACAGTACAAGCAGTGTGACGTGTCTCACCTGTATCCTCCTGTTCAGCAGCCTGCTGGCCAAGATTTTGAGGGAGGAGCAGCGCTCGCGGGGGAAACCGGCCAACCGGCTGAGGTGGCGCGCTGTGCATGTGTCCCTGACCATGTGACCTGGATGGATCATGTCCAACGCCTCAAAGTCGTTGTAGATGGAGTGGCCGATGACCACTTTGCCCTCGAGTATACTGAGAATCTACAGGAGAGAAGCCACGCAAAGGGCAGTAGAGGACAAATGTAAATTTACCTGCCATCACTGATCATGAATCATTTGAAGTTTGACCTCTACATAATGGAGCTTTATGTATGATTTAACATATAGACACAGTACAAAAGGTACTTCTTGAAATATATATTTGGTAATTGTCATGCTTTCTTGATGGTGAGAGATATTTATGACGCAAGATAGAAGGAAGGACCTGCAGCAAAGGACCCTGGGCCGGACCTAAACCCGGGTTGCTGCGGTAAGGACTCAGCCTTAATGATACACTCTGTACCCAGTGAGCTACCAGGGGCCCAAACACACAAGGTATCTCAAATATTCCTCATCCCCCTCCTCAGGTGAGGCTAGATTTCATTTGCAACTCGTTTAACCTGCAGTACAGCTTCATGTTTTACTGGTTACTCAAAACTCCATAAACTCAGTGTGGACCGAAGTGAAGCTCCTGCTTGGGAAAACCAGACAAACATATTTACCTCAAGTTTCTTTATGTTAGCTTCAGTTTTTGAACTTACACTTCAGTGAAGGGCTATATTTGTCACATGACACATTGTTTGGGTTAAACATGAGCATGTTACAGTCCTGGAGGATTAATAATGTGCACCTCCTCCTGTACTGCCTTAATATGCACATTCAGCACATCCAATGCATCAAAACATTGTTTTCTAGTTGGAGCCGCGCCTCGTTTTCAAACTGTATGGTTTGACTAAAATGAACAATGACAGCAATATAGTCCACGATGAGCAGCGCCAAAATCAACCTGCTTAGTTGTCCCTCCATTGTGACATTAGAAAGTGTCACATTTATCTTGCAAGTGTACTCTTCTTCAACGTTTGTTTTACTTCCTGGATTTTTCCCACATGGAAATTCTGACCAATCAAGAGCAGCTTTCTCGCACAAGGCATTTGATCTGATCCGCTTGTAAATGCTGCCGTGAGAACACGAACCAACTCTAGGCAATTATACAACTTTGTAACAAAATTTACATTTAAGGCATTTCCCTCTGAAGCATTTCAGCTGAAGACATTGCACTCGCTGTGTCCATATGTGCGTCTGCTTCTTCATGTGTGAACTAATACACAAGGGAGGTATTTTGAGAATCAAAGTGTGGGCCTCACCTCTTCCCTGGCCTGAGCAAAGGGGATGGCGTTGTGTAAATGATGCCTCTGGATGCCACTCCAGCGAGTCCTGTAGTCTGTGACGGGCTGACACGGTCTGACATATTTATCGTACAATACGTTGCCGTGATAGTCCAGGATGCTGCAACGGGCCAACTCACTACAGCATCCGCCGGGCCCCGTCCCCACCATCTCACAGTCCAATGCCACCACTGTGGTCGGACACGAGCTGAGGCATGGTGAGCTCCGACCACTTGCCGGAGGACTCGCTTCAGAGGAGAAACCACTGTCCACCTCCCATCTGTCTCTGAGGGCTGTGACCAAACTGCAGTGATCAGAAGCATTAACCTCAGAGAGTCCAGGTTTAGATACATCAGTCCTTGTGTTTTCAGAGTTCAGAGTGTTTTGACTTTCCTGGTTTGCATTGCTTAACTTTGTTTTTTTGATCAGTTTATTTGTTTCCAGTAGTTCGTTGTGGTTGTCCATCGTTTTCCTCTTCACATTGGCAATCATCATCTTCTGCTGGTATTTCTTCCTGGCTCCTGCGCTCTCCATGGCGCGAAGCATCATGGATTTTTTGCACAGATACCTATAGTTGCTGAAAAGCCCCCACGAGGCGGCTCTATTCCTTTTCGACATGTCTGCCATCATCAACAAATGAAACTGGCCTTGTTTTCATTTTCTGAGGAAACAAAAAATAAAAACACAAAACACCATGAGGAAATAAATTCAATAGACGAAAAGTAGTATTCAGAATTAAATGATTAAAATCTACACATTTGCTCTGATAAAGGGTAACATTGTACCCTTCTGTCACTGGGGCTGTTGCATAACCTTGGTTCTTATCTCAGTGTGTGTGCACATACAGAGTGAAGGTAACATACAAAAAAGTGTCATGCTTATGAGACCACGTGTGGACAATAATAAAGACAATACATTACAAAGAAATTACTTTATAACGTATAAAATGTTACATGTTGATTGTATGTATGTGTATGCTGACCCCTAGCTTCAAGTCAAATTTCTCTAAGGAGACAATAAACGAACTGGACTGAACTGTACATCACTGTAGCAACAAACTGTGGGACTTGCTCTAACTTGATCGATGAATTTAACAGTCAACTGATCCATTTAAAGGCTACTTCTTATAAATAGTGAAATGTCAAAGGGCCATTATTCAGAGAAATCGCGTTTGACAAGTGACGACAAATGCTGTAATGTCATTGAGACAGTAGCACCAAACTCCGTTCAAATTTCCGTCAATTTAGCGTTAGTTTCCTTGACGGCGAATATACTTTACTCAAGCCTGCCTAAAATGTATCAAGTCATCGCTGGAATTCAGCGGTAAATCCAGCATACTCCAATTACAGTAATGCTAACGTTATAGCTGTATGCACAGTCCACCAAATTCTCGTTCACAGAAAACGTGTCTCGTCGAGAAAGGCCGTGATGGACAGCAGCCATCACTGTGGCCCAACTAACTTTATCGTTATAAACAGCGCACAGTTATTTACAAAGACATGTTTTGTAGGTTTTAATTAAGCCGAATTAAACACTGACCCTAAATACTTAGAAAAAAGCGGAGACTCGTGTTTTCTGTAGTGTTAAACTTTGTCAAAAACTAACACCAACTATTATTGACAGATATTTCTACGGAGTTTGGCCTCCAGCTCTGGACAACCGACCAACGTTTAGTTAGCTAAAGGAAGCCACGTCAAACAAAAGACTAAACATGATTCACCGAAGAAAAACATCACATAACAATAATGCAAATATATAAACGTGTTGACAATAAAACACAAGATACGATACGACATTGAAAAAGTATCTAAATTACCTTCTGAGGTAGCACCGTGGACAGCACGTGTACAGTCTGGACGTGTCTGGACAGCTCTCCTGTACTCTACATCTGATTGGCTCGTTCTCTTCTTCGTTTGTGGTTTTACAGGAAGCGTTCAACTGCCAAATACCTGCGGAGTGGCCACCTATTGGTTGGATGCGTTATTACCCCAATTTCCACAACAGCAACATTTCACCATTTAACATAATAATAATAATAATAATAATAATAATAATAGGGCAGGTATAAATAAAATTGAATTGAATTAAAAAAACATGAAAAAGGAATAAAAAAATAATAAAATAAAATTAATTTACATTAAAAAAAAAAAACTAATAATATGACCACAAATGCAAACAAATTGCAGTAAGTAATATTAGGACATAAATAAATAAAATAAAATTGAATAAAATAAAAATAATGTAATCACGAACAAGTCCCTGGAGTGTGGCGCATTCATTTACACACTTATGTAATTGCGGTGTGCAGCAAAGTGCCATTCACAGAAACTTAGTTGCACCTATCACCTGTTAGAGAATTACTAATTCAAAAATCTCTGTAAGCCACCTCTGCTGATCTACTAGGTCACATACAACAATGCCAATTTAGACAGGTTTCTTAAAATACCCAGATGTTTGACTTAAAAGTACTGACAGTCTTTTATTCTGCCCCAAATTCTAAAAAAGCGGTTGTTTAGCAAGGTGTGCTGGTCTAAATGAATCTGCAATTTATTATGTTGTAGTAAAAGGCCTCACTGTACCTAAATGACAACACATTTAATGCAGTATAAATCAGCTGTTTCAGTTTTCTATTCTGAAGTGATGGGAGTAATTTATCCCACATTGTTTGTGTAATTATTTACAGACTGATCCCAAATTCAGTTGAACATTGTTTTTATATCCATGATCCAATTTATATAGGGGAAGAAAAAAAAAAAAAAAATCAAACTGATTAGTTTAGTTTCTGTTAATGAAAGTAAGCTTGAATTAATTTGTTAAGGAAAATCAATCTCCTGAGCTTCTAAAATGCCAGGATTTTCTGCTTTTCCGTTTTATATCATTATAAACTGATATAAAACTTGGAGGACTCGCCTCAGAGGTTTTGGACTGTTGCTTGAAAAGAACAACATATTTGAATTTTTATTTTTTTTACCATTCCAACATTAAGACCAAACAATTAATTAATAATAATTTACAGATTAATTTATAAAAACTGATAGTTACAGCTCAACATGTCTCTGAATCACTACATGCACTGACTTAATACGATACCAGAATTCACAAGACGGGTTTCTGTTCCTGTTCATGAATGAAGGTCATACAGCTAGTTTTGGTTTTGTGGGCCTTTTTATTTCACAATCCTTCCAAATGTACAAAAACAAAGACGTGTTACAAAAACAAAAAAAAAAACAAAAACAAAAAAAAGGAATTCACCATTACCATTATCCCCTGTGACGACGACAACAACAAAAACCAAAGCGACAGATGACTGGAGACTGGTGTCAAACCAAAGTGCATCAGCCTGAGGTGTAGTAGACAGACCAGGGGAAATAAAAATCTCAATTTTCAAAAGCTGTCCCCTCTTCCCTAAAAATTTGTTTTTGTTTTTAGACATCGGGCAGACCCTGGCCACCACCTTCCACAGTTTTCCCAGAGCAGCGGAGGACCTAAAGGGAGGGCCGCGTCTTTTTTCGACTTGGCCTCAGAGCATTCGGTAGTTCACTAAGAGAGTGGAATATAATTTAGTTCTTTCTTTGCATGGATTTCCCCAATCCTCCTCTTCCTCTTCTTCTTCCTGTTGTGGCGGGGATGTTGAGTTCCTGTTTGGAGCTTTTATAGCTCTGTCTTGTCGTCGTCCTTCTTCTTCTTCTTCTTCTTGCTCTCCTCCTGCATCACCAAGGGGTTGGTGGCCTCCCTCTTCAGGTAGTTGATGAAGTCGCTCACCTCGCGACCTCCCTGCAACATGACACAGCAGCATTAGCAGGGTGGACACGAATATGACTTTACTTTGTTTTAATGATTCAGTTGAAGCTGATTCTCACCTCGTATTTCTTTGGGCTCATCTTACGTCCAGCTGGGGCAAAGTACAGTGTGGGGAAACTGGAAACAAAAAGTTGAAGAGATCGATAAGAATTTATGTCATTAACGTCATACTTTTATCAACAGTCAGTGTTGCTCACATTTATTCACGATCTGTAATCACAGGGACCAAGACACCAAAATGATGCCTTCTTAACCAGCATTACTACACCCATGAATCCAAAAATGTACTTTATAACCCGACTGAGACAGGGACCAATATTTGGGAGTTTAAAAACTCCAATAACAATGTAGTAATTTAAAAAAAAAAAAAAACATAAACACATAAGCAAAATATCTTGATACATATCCCTTAGATTTGTTTTTTTAAAGGGCAACTTCTGTATTTTTTGATCTGGACCCTATATTCCCATGCTTCTGTATCTAACTGACTAACAGGAGCAGCGCTAAGTGACAGGGCTGCAGCTGGCAGCAGCAACACAGGCTGCAATGTAACTACCGCCTATGGATTTGTTTGCACCATCAATTTATGTCCTCTAGAAGTGTTTGTTTTTGCCACTGACAGGCTCAGATTGTTATTTTAAGTGTCTGACACCATTATGGAAAGGATCCCTACAGAGACAGACCTTTTATTAAGAAGTATGATCCTTTAGTTAAACCAAAAAGCCTGGAAATTGCCTCTGTGAAACCATCAGATCCATTTAAATAAACTGTTGGAGCCACAATAAACACTGTGTGTTTTGTTTGATGACTACATGTATAGTGGATGCAGTTATCAAACTGACCACAGGGTGGAGCATTCATATGAGGGGCATATAGGCAGGCTCCAGGTGATGAGACTCAAGTGTGTGGAATGTGGAGGCAAACAGTTTTTGACCATGTTGTGGAGGCATGCTGAAGAGCTTGAAGTTTGTAGCACCGACTCCAAAGAGACAAAATGCACTGGACGTTGGTTTATTGCAGCTCAGAACAAGTTCACCTATTTGCACCTCAGTGGCTTGTTCAGATTTTTGTTTTTGTTAAAAAGTCATTGCATAAACAGTGTATATAGTCAGCATATTTTCACATCTAACTGGGTGAATTAAGAGGTCATTTCAACCAAACCAGAGTTGGTGTTGGTTTGAAGGTTGAAAAGATGAATCAAGATGGCTTTTGTGAGCTTTATTTATTTATGACGACTTTGAATGTGTTATGTTTTGCAATGATAAAATTACTTTAGATTTAAAGTCTGGTGGGTTTGGCGATGGTGATTTCGGAGCTGTTTCTGGTTTAACAACAAGGACTTAACTCTTTAACAAAAAGTTAATCTCTGTTGGGATCCTTTCCATAATGTGGTCAGACACTTACAATAAACAATCTGAGCCTGTCAGTGGCAAAAACAAACACTTTTTGTAGAAACAAAGTGACAGTGCAAACATGTCCCCAGTGGTTACATCGCAGCCGTTTCATGACTGCGGGGTGCCGCAGTTTCACATTATACTGGACCAATGTCAAAAATTTCGTATCCATTAGTGATTTAAACACAAAAACAATCCCTGATGTTAGCATGTAGCTACATGTAGCGGTGTATATAATGTCAACACGTGCAGTGACGTGCCTGGAACAGATGACCATATAAAGAAATCTGTCACGAGCTGATGTCAGCTTGTGTCGTACCGTTTAAAGAACTGTGACCAGTAAACACACTGAGCTGCACACTAGAGCTGAAAAACCTTTTCAGCATTCTCTGGTGATGCCATCACTGATTTCTAAATTATCTCACACTCAATCTGCAGTACGCTGATATATTTCTTTCTAGAGCTAAATGAAAAGTAAATGACAATGACATGTACAGGTTTCTTTTGGGTCAAGACTTATTGATAAAGTATATCGAATGATCTTGGTGAGTGAATGACGTATCAAAGTAAATCTGTACCATACAGTTTTTTAAGGAATATAATGAGCAGCACTGTTGAGTCTTGGTGTTACAATTTTTCAATATTATGTTTCTGCAACTCCCAAACCTTCAAGGCTTTCACTGATTTAAGGGAAGCCTGAATAAGACACTTAATTGACTCATGACTCACCCGCTGACTTCATATGGAGAAGGCACATCGTTTGCTGTGGCGTCCATCTTGGCAATGACAATGTTGGGATCACCCGCAAGCTATAAGAGCAGAGGAGAGAAACTGTCAACTGTTTGAAACCTTATTCACAAAATCTACTTCTAAACAGTGAGTTTTGTCTGCACCATAAAAGCCCAACAGCAACCAGTCTAACATCTGAATTACTGCTTATAAAACAGCACTTGCATTAAGTGGTTTCTGTTGTTTTTATTCTTTTACATACAAAAGTACAAAACTAAAAAAACAAAACTAAAAAAGGAGACACTTTACTTCAAGTCATTTGTTGGTTGAGGTCATTAAAAAGCTCACCTTCTCTCCCAGCTCATTGTATTTGGGCTCCAGGCTCTTGCAGTGTCCGCACCATGGAGCGTAGAACTCAATCAGCGCGTCTTTGCTGTCATCGTTGACGATGGAGTCGAAGTTCTCAGCCACGACGACCTGAATACAAATGAAAGACGTTAAGCATTTACTCCTAATGGATTAATGAGGAGTTATTTTCTTACATTAAATTTTATAGAAAAATCAAGAGGTCACACACAGAATAAACTGACAATACAAAACATCTCAACACGGCACATGTTAAGGAAAAATTAAGAATTGCTGTCATAATTTCATCTCACCTTGACAGGTCCGTCGTTGTTCTCTGGGATGGGCTCTGATTTGAGATAACGCTTCAACTTGCCGTCAAAGTAATCCTGCAGGAAACGCTCCAGAGCTTTTCCATCTGCACTGTTAGGAAAACAGAAACACTTTGTTTAAGTAATAAGTAGGGAAATTAAATGTTTGGGGGGGGGGGGAAGACAAACACAGAATCAATACATTGCTAAGCTGTCTAATACTCCGATGGATTAGATGCGATATCGATTCAATTAGGGATATTTTAGTTACCATAAACAGTTTCTTTTAACTTGTTTGTAACAATCTGTATTGGCTGAGCTAGCGCGTGCTGTGCTAATGAAAAACATCACTTTTCTACATGTTTATGCGTGCTGAACAGGTGTGCTGAAAAAGTGTTGGCTTTTCACTCAGTGGATTTATTGCACTCAGAGTAACGAGCGTAGTTTGCATCAACTGCAGTAATCTTCACTCCACTGTCTCCAACACAGCCTCTCTGATCTTGGCTGTTTTCCAGAGAACGGTTCGGTGAAAACTCAGCCTTGGTTAACCCTGAGATGAGGGAAACTCTGGGGTTTCTGTTCTAGAAAAAGCAGTAACGTACACTCTGCGAGTCAGTTATTGTGGTTACTGACTCTGAACCTCACCTGCTCGCTGGCAGTTTTTTTTTAAACAAACCCTGAGTCTTGATCTGCTTCGATATTCTGTCTCTGTGGTGGTGAGCAATAAGAAAATGCAGAAGTAAAGCCTGTAGCTCGAGCAACAGCCCGAGAGAGCCAATAGAACTCCAGCTGATGACCCGTTTTGCGTCATTTGGCTGAGTTTCGTTGAGAGGGGTGCAGGGATATCTAGGCACTTGTTAGACGGAGGGAAGTTTGCCACAGTTCACATACACATACTACAGACGTGGTTTTGATACAAAGCTGGTTAAAAATCAGCGAAGAATCCCTTAAACTCAGAGTTAACATACTTAAGAGTTGGTTGAGGCTTCAGCATGATAATAAATTCCACCAAAACATAAATAGTATATATAAAAAAACTGTTAACGTTGGATCTTAGTAAGACTACTGTCTTTAATAATTTAGTTCCAGGCCCATTTAATACCAGCGAGATTAAAGAAGTTAAAATTTTGTACATCTGCAGGAAAAGGCATGTTTTAAAGATCAATCTCAGATTCAATGAATCGGATGAATCGCTTATTATTTTTTCTCTCTTTCGCCTTTATTTGATAGAACAGCTCAGGAGTGAAGGAGAGACAGGGGGGGTGACATGCAGGTTGGAACTGAGCCCAGGCCATGTGGCAAGGACACATTGTGTGTTATATGGGACGCCTGCTCTACCAGGTGACCTAATGTACGCCCAATGAATTGATCATTTTAACCCAGCCCCGTCTGATACATTAGACATGCACCTCCTCACTGTGTTACATGTGCATTTAGTGAGTTACACAGTGACACTTTCTGTAGAAACATAGTTAGTTCAACATTCTTTCAAAGTCTATCCAAAGGGAGGGTGCATGTGTATAATTAAATCATTATACATGGAAACAAAAAAAGTAACATGCGACTTGACTTACGAGAACTCCTCGGTCATGACGTATTTGTCTCCCTTGCTGGTGCGGATGGCCACCAGAGGCAGGTCTGATGACCTGTCATCCAGGCCGAACTCTGACACATCGGACCTGAACTCGCCCTTGCTGGCCACGGCGAAGTTCAGCTTCTTGCCCTGATCCAGGAAACTCTTGGCCACCTTCATCACTCTGTAAAATGTTAAAGTTTGGTTCATTTTAAAATTCACGCTTTTGAAAATGAAGATTTACGTGGCATCTCAAATTCAAGGCTGTATTTAGTTGGTGAAACTTTAGCTTAATCCAACTATGAGGTGGACAAATGAGTTCAGCTCCACATTCTCAGGGGTTCAGTTAGTTAAAAAAAATTGTGAAAGATGGAGAGAAAACAAAACTTATTTTATTTCAATTTTGTTTAGGCCACTGCTCTGTGCTCAGGAAAGAACAACCCTGGGGTGAGTTCAGAGACACCTACCTATTCCTCCAGTAGTTTGAGCCCTTGGGGTTTCTGTGATAATCAACTTCATAATATGCCACCAGCAAGTCCTTCCCCCTCAGCTGATCCTGGTTGTCTTGCGTCATGTGGGGGCAGATTCCAAAGCTGCGTTGAAAAGAGAAAGTGAGAATGAGTTCACAAAGGAATTTAAACAAACAACCTGTACTCCTTTCATCGCTACTGAGCAACCAAATTATCAAGTTTGGTTTGTTAGTTTGTTTAAAAGGTTCAGATGTGATCGCACTGTTCACATCTTTCATAAAGTCTCCAGATTATTTTGAATATGCCAAATAGGCTTCTGTTCTGCAGACTTCAATGTCACACAGTTAGTGTTTAGACAACAGCCAGAGCTGCCGCAAAGTGAAAGTAAAAGTACAGTTAACAGAGGTATCTTGTGTGACGCAGGAAAAAAAATACAGGTGATAGCTGTATTTAATTAATAAAATGTGATAGCAAAAAGGCACATATCACATATACTGGGCAAAAATACAGAAAGAACTGCAAAGTAGATTCATTTTATGCCAATGACTTCAAAAATAAACTAAAATGCACCGTTATTTGTATTAACTGCATTAGTTGTATTAGTGTAAATCTGATTCCATGTGCAAGATCAATGTTTTTTGTGCATGGTCCATGTCAAATAAATGGAATAAACTAAAACTAATATGGAAACACATATAATCACCACATCACTTTTTCGGTGCAGTCTGACGGGGCCCTTACGCACATCACGAATGCAAGTGAAGAAAGGAAATAGCGAGCTGGTGGTTTCACACTTAAGCTCCTACATTAAACCATGTTTTTATGCACGTTAGCAAACAACATCTTTTTAAAAAAAGGCCTATCTAACAGTCTGCGTGCGTAAACTCACAGATGATAAGCCACCTAAAATGACCAGGCATAACTGGGTAAGATAAACAGGCTAGCTAGTTGTCCTCACAAGTGTCCACATGTCCTCAATCGTGATCATTTTTTTCCATTATACTAAAACCCTTTTTACACAGAGATCGTGCTAATAGATCTGCTACAGAGTCCCTTCTTTATGTCGCCTTTGCATTCTTTAACAGAATCAAACAACAGCAGCATCATAGTGCTCTAGTGTGCCAGTATTGTGGAAGCAAAAGAAGCGTGACAGGCGTGACATGTAATGCAACAGCATCGGCCTCTAGTGTGACATATAACAGACGTTTTGACAAAGTTTTATAAACAATTACAGTCATTTAGCATCACTGTTATATGGCGTCCTCTGCTCAGAGGCTGAGGAGCTCTCAGAACTCATCGTTTCCCCATATTTGTGGAAATTTTCGGGCGCTGTTATTCTTTTAAGTTAGCTGCTAACTGCTTTTTCAATCCCCCTGCGGTGGGTCACACTCAAATCACCTGATTTGAAGAGGCAGTGTAAAAGGGGTGTACGTTTCAAGATAATGATTACGCTTCAGTGATCGAAATGCATCAAACAAACTAAGGCCTCACTGTGATTCTGTTGTTTTGTCTGTATTGTTTAGGTCCGCTCCTTAGATAATGGTTCAGTCATGATGACTGACAAAGGCTGCAAACAGGATCTGGTTGTTATTTTTCTATTCCAAAAGAGTCACTCCCTTATCTTTATTTAACCTCTGATGTCATGACGTCAGATTAAAAAGTCCAGTATTTGTCCTAACAATTACCAAACACTGTTCGATACAGCCTAAATTTACGCAATGTTGAGCAAGCACTGACTGTGTTTGCACAGCAGACACCTCACCTACTACACCAGGTCCTGTTGGCACGGGGCCACAAATGTAAATATGCGTTGTTACTATGCAAAACGACTGTGTGTTTCACAGAGTGTGTTCAATGATAGACTGAGATAACTGTCCCTACTTAAGCAAATAAACACTCACATGTTGTCCTGGATGAACTTCTTGATTTTGTTGCTTGTGTATTTGTCCTCGCTGTATTTCACGGTGCTGTCTTCGAACTTGTTGTTGAGTCTTGGTGGGCGGAACAGGACGATTCCCCTGTAGACAAAAACAAAACACAGTAAGTGTCACTGTAATCTGCACCAACAGCAGCTACACTGGTGATATCAAATGTGTAAGGATGCAACTTTTTGTGCAAATATCTGCTTCCAAGGACACATTGCAAGTATGATGACTGGGCCAAGGCAGAAAGAGCTGCTTACTCTCCGTCAATGCCGTGGCTCTGGAGGAGAGCCTCGGAGTTGGTGTGGGCAAAGCGGTAGTTGTCCCTCAAGGCGCTGGCTGCCTTCAGGAACTCTGCCTGTGCTGTGCTCTTATCATCAGCAAAGAACCCTGGGAAGGAAAGGTGAATTGTTTTCAGACCAGGATGCAATAACCATGGTGCCATTGTTTACAAATTTTGCCAACAGTTACTGAAATTCAAACAGCAACTCACCCACAACACTTGCATCTTGATCTGATGTGTATGCTGCCAAGTCTGCGTCTGCCTTGAGCTCCACAGAAGCCGGTCCAGCCTGCTTCTTAAGGAAACTGACAATCCCATCTACAGAAAGCGAGAGGAAAGCAGATGCACGACACAGACAGAAGAAAAGATGAAGAGGCAAAAAATAAATAATGACCAAGAGCTGACAGAAATAAGCAGATATAAGGAGACTTTGTTCAAGTGTGAGACATTTTTAAACACAAAATAAATCACATCAGCGGCAAATACCTGCAGTTCTGGGACCATCATAGGGACCACTTTCCTCTCCATCCCTGAAGATTTTCAGGGTTGGGTAGCCATTGACACCATATTTGCTGCAGATGTTGCTGTTGGATGTGCAGTCAACCTAAGAGGAAAAGAAAATCATTCACCTTCTGGAGAGACACGGGGTATACCAGAGTACAGAGTGCAGAAAGCCACACTAAAGTGGACAAAGTTGAGAGGACTGCATTATGTAATACCTTGACCAGAGGGACGGTGCCTTTCAGACGTGTGGCGGCTAACTCGTACTCAGGTGCTAGCCGTTTACAGTGGCCACACCTAGGAGACAGAGGACACGGATCAGTAAAGCAAGAGTTCCACTAAAGCTGTATTCAAGTTTCAGCGTGGCAAAGATCCTGGGGGAGATCTCGTGATTTCACAGTGTGGAATTTGATACCTCTGAGGTAATACAACAGGATTTGTGAAACATAAAAAGTTTGTTAAATGTAGAGGAAAAAACTGATTCACAAAACTGAACATGCTTTACTTTAATTTATTAGTATAAACAGTATTAGGGGTGAAACTAACTATCAATTTGAATGATTAGTCCTCTGATCATTTGATTCGTCCATAAAATGTCAGCAAATACTACAAAAGTTATAATTAAAATTTTCAAAAGCCTGATTTGGCATATTTTGTCTGTACAGTAGTACAAAAATCAAAAGATTAGATAATAAATATGATAAGAAAATTAGCAGATATTCACATTAAATCAACTGGAACCAATGCATGTTTGAGAATGTTGCTTGAAAAATAATGTTTCCGCTCTTGATAGAAATAAATCTTCATTAAAGTGTTTAATTTCAGCGTTTTAATACATATTATTCTGTTCAACTTCTATTTTGTTCAAGTTTGGCAGAAGCGAACACGTCACAGTTATCCTGGACCAATCAGACGTGGACACCAAAACTTCCCTGGCCAATCAGAACGTTACAACAGTAAAATGACACACCCCTAACTTCCTCATAGCCTCATTAGCACGCAGTTTCCATTGAAAATAACTGAGAGCTGTTAGAAATACGAGTCAGTGCTAAATGTCTTTAATCTTTACAGATTAATGTTTAATGTTCTGACAAACTGAGGAAGTGTTTGACTCAATGGCGCACTTAATAAAAACGTATGAATACAGCTAGTTAGCTACACCTTTCCGCTTCTAGCTAACATGCTAACGTTTGGTCACAAGCCAATAAACCGAAGACAATTTGACGTTACAGACTCTAGTTATGTTAAAGGGGAACATGTATGGTTGCAGTTTACACAACAAATAAAATGCTTTTCAGTGAGGTGCATTCACGGTGTTCTAAAGTCTGCAAGTGAACGTCAGTTAGCCGAACTGTTATCCACGGAACATTAAGCTAGCGTTGACTAGCTTAAATTCACGCTTGAAACCTGTTTGAATTGCTCAGATACGCTTTAGAAAACGAGAAAAGACTCACCAAGGGGCAAAAAATTCCACCAGGGCGAGCCCATGGTCTCCAATCTTGCTTTCGAAATCATCGTCCGTGTATTCAAGCACATCACTGGCCCAGGTGAAGCCGGTGAGAGCGGCCAAAAAGATTAGCCTCAACATCGCACACCGCGCTGACTTTAAAGTCTATTTCACTTTTTGTTTTGAGAAAGAAAAGTTCGCCCCCTCTGAAGCTCTTCAGCGACGTGGATGCCAAAGCTGCGAGCTCCTCGGACAGGCCAAATGCAGACTAGTCGATAGAGAAAGAGAAAGGGATAGAGGCGGTGAAGATGTGCAGGCAAACAGCGGGACCTCTCCTAACCACAGTGTGGCAGCCTCCCATTGGTCCATCCGAGCTGTCACTCAGCCTCGATCAGCCAATGAGAAGCGGGGAAACGGGATGTCGTCAGTTTAAAACCAATGACATCTCAACAAAATCAAAACTGCTCTATCACAGTATCCTACATATCTGTATCACCGCATATTTATAGGTAGTATATTTACTATTTTTTAAGTTAAACTGACAAAATATAAATTTAAAATACAGCAACCAGTCCTTAGCCAAAAAAACTGAACAAAACAAGAAAAGTATAATACATTAAAGAACACAAAATACACACCATAAAAATATAAAAAGCCATTTTAGTAATTTTGTGCATCACACAGGACACAAATAAAGTGGGGTATAATCATATGAGCTTACACGTAAGATAATCAATCCAGTGAATGAGAAGGAGCCAGTGTGAGTCAATTAAGAACACTTAAGAAAGCCCTTAACAAGTCTAAGGAATGGGGCTCACTGCTTATTGAACTTATGTTTTAATCCCCTGGCTGTATTTCTGATCTTCTTAAATTGGATGTGGTTAGAACACGAACAATGCAAAGGTTGTGAGAAGGTTTCCGTTTCAGCAGGATTAGGGACTGTTCTCTATTTGTCAAAGGAGGGGAGTGGCGAGGGTGTGACTTGAACCTCCCTGAAGCTACAAATATTTTACCTTGAGCCTCCCTGAGTGACTGGAGGAAAATGCATGACCCTCGCTCCACCATGAATTAGTTGTAGATGTTTGAAAGTTGAAAGTTAAAAGTTAAAGACGAAATCCTGGAGTTGAAAGAAGCCTTGGTTTATCACTCTTGTCCTGATGTTGTTGTTTTTTTGGCTAAATTTTAAATGAGACGTAGAATAAAGTGATTTTGATTAAACATCTCTATTTTAAGATCAGATCTGGTTTTGTTTTTTTATCTATCTGATGAAATGTTGTAACTGCAATTTAGCTGGTTAAAAAGAGGGGGGAAAGAGGTCTTAGATGTTGAGACTGGATATCAACCAGTTTTCAATCAGAAATACACATTGAGTAATATACTAAATACAAAACTTGAGAATATTTGGCACTTTAGCTTGGTTAATTACTTAAACATTATGTTGATTATCAGGATATTTCCTGTTAATTTCCTGTCGAGCAATTAAGCAGCTAATCCTTGCAGCTCTAGTCACTACCACCAGTTCCTGGCTCAGACATCAGAGGAAAGATCAAACACACTGATAACACTGTTGACCTGCAGGTGTCTTCAGTCTCTGTGCCATGTGTATGTGTTGTGGAAAAACTAAGCCACCAGGATTTAGTGTGCTGGATGGAGCCAGTACTGATGTAATAATCACTTAAACATTATTACTCAAAGTTGGTTGCATGTTCTCTACATGTCACCGTGGGTTTTCTCCAGGTACTCCAGCTTCCTCCCACAGTCCAAAGACATGCAGGTTAATTGTTGACTCTAAATTGTCCGTAGGTGTGAATGTGAGTGTGAATGGTTGTCTGTCTCTACCTGTGATAGTCTGGTGACCTGTCCAGGGTGTACCCCACCTCTCGCCCAGTGTCAGCTGGGATAGGCTCCAGCCCCCCAATGCATGAATGAAAAAAAATATGCTCACGTTGCATATTCCTGAATAAAGTTATGACTAATCAGAATTACTACAAATTAACTGTTACACAGAAGAAGAGGTCAGGTGTGCTGAACCTGGAGGCAACATAGTGCCCACTTAATACACTGAATGTGCGAGGACAGAGGGAAAACAGCAGAGGTCCAACAGCAAGTTTTTGCCCTGAGGTTGTGACAGTGAGACAGTTATATAGGCAGCCAGCTTTCTTTAATTCCTTGGAGACAATTTAAAACTAATGCAATAAATTAATAGTGTTGGTCATCCAAGAGCATCTAATGTTTTTGTGACTCTTGTACCAGTTTATATTAATCAGTTGTTGATTGTGGTTGTCTGGCCTTATGTGTGTTGTTATATCGTTATCTCAATTAGATGACAAGGTTAGATTCTTATTTCTTATTATTGAGGACTACAGCCAACAACAGGGTTCATATTCATTAATGTGGGTCTTCTTTATGAAGCTGCAGTTATATTACTATTCCAGCAGAGGGAGCTCTCTGACAGCACAGAATGCTCCTCTGTCACTGGTGTACAACACTGTCCACAGTCAGGTAGGTTATATCACTGCTATTCGAGTCATACGTCGACTGAGGCGTAGAGGCCCTTTAAGGTTTACTTTAAAGGGACAGTTCACCTCAAAAATACATATTTTATCTGTTACCAGTAGTGTTATTCATGAGTCAAGATTGTTTTGGTGTGAGTTGCCAAATGTTGGATTTACTGGTCTTAAAGATGTCTGCCTTCTTTTTAAGATATTTTTTTGGGGCTTTTTAGCCTTTAATGTATAGGACAGACAAGCGTGAGGGGGGGGGGGGGGGGCATGCAGCGGGGGGCCACAGGCTGGAGTCCCCATCTGCCTTCTCTTTAATATAATGACACTAGATGGCACTCAGCTTGTCGTCCTCAAATTGCCAACAAAAAAAAATACATTTGAAACACTCAACAGCAACGTCTCTTTCCGAACCACACCTGCCAATCGTAGTATGAATCTACTGCTTACTCACCTAGCACCACTCAGCTAGCTAATGTTATGTTACAGCTCAATCGAGGAGGACAACATTAATGTTTACATCTCACGCTGTCACAAGCACAAGCCTCTCGTCCGTGAGTGGATGCACGCTTCCTTCTGCTTGGTTTATCATGTGACCTGTGTCACATGACCCTCACGTGAGCGCTACAACACTTCATGAATAACTTATCTTTACAAGGACCTAGTCTTAACTTTAAGGGGAAATTCTAAGAGAATGTCACAACTCTAGGAATTTTCTTAGAATTTCTTCACTAGGAGCAACTCTTTGTAGCAGGAAGCTTTGTGAATAGGGCCCCTTTATTACAACTAACTACACAGAGCCTTAACCCAGTGCAGCACTCCCTATTTTTTCCTCATTACACAGATAATTGTATCTAGAATACATTTGAGACATCAGTAATAAACACTGCTGTTAGCTCACACAAATGAGAGGGAAAGAGTTCAAAACTTTTTATCTGGTTGTGCAGGAAATGGTGCACATTAAAAGTAATATATTTGCCCATATAGTAGTTTGGAGTCTTTATTATACTTAATGTATTCAGTATGTATTAGTTGCATACTTTGACGCATTCTGCAGGCCCAGTGTTTACATCCAAGTTAAAATTATTATCTATGCACTGAAAGTATTTTTTTCTCCATTATTACAAACCTTGCTTCCTAAATGGACCAGTTTCTTTCAGCGACACCTCAGAAAGTCTCCTCATCTCTGTACTGACTGCCAATCTGCACTAATCCTTCAAAACGGAGCCGTCTTTCTTCCAGATCAGCCGCCGTTTACTGTAAATTCACAGCTGAGATGGGAACGGCAGAATTAGATGGAAATAATTCAGGGACCAAATGAGGTTAGAGGATCCGCTCAAGTTTTTTTTCCATCTGGAGATGATGGGCTATTCATGTCAGTGGAGATGTGAACAGTGCTGCACGACAGTGTTTTGGAAAATATGTGTACAGTTGAAGGTCACTGATTGGACACCATTGGCATCTTTGCATATTCTCTTTACATATTACACTAAAGCATTTTATCATCAATGCATCAACGATTTATCCCACGGTCTGTTACAGCATCGTCATCACTATTCAACCATTTTATCCTAAGAATTTGTGTTTTGTGCAGCTGTGCGCTCTGCAGCACTGTAGAGATTTGTTCTCCGCTTTTCCCCACAAAGCCCCTTCCCTCAAAAATCCGAGCCCCCATTGCCTCTGTGAAGTGGTTGCCATGGCAACCCGCTTGCTCCTCAGCCATATCTGGAACAAGTAGGAGGAGAGAAGAGGTCTGCAGCATTATGCTGGTGACATGCTCCGAGTACTGTGTACTGAGATACAGAGAGGAGGGAGAGAGGGAGGAGGGAGGGAGGGAGGAGGAGGATGTATTCAGGACATCAGAACCGTCCTCCAAATCGGTGAAGAGAGAGAAACAGATTCCTCACAACAGCCAACACTTGACGTCTCAGCTGCGTCTCGTCAGAACACTGAACGCCTTGTTGTCCATGTCAGCGTCCAGACCACAACACTGGAAAAACTGTTGCCTGTTTCATCACTGGAGACAATAAAAATCTATTCATCCACAATGGGACAAAGCACTTGTTACAGACTCCCTGCACTGCCGAGCAAACACTGCCATCTTTGCACATACACTTTTAAACAAGACAGACACATATTTAGGTTCATATTCACCCCAGCGTGCAAATGAGATGGCACACAATTCATTTAGCATATTTCCTTCTGTGTTTGTGTACTGGGTGTTTGCAATACCGCTGTCATGATGCTGGACTTTTTATTTTTGATACAGCATCTTAAGATATCGATATTCTTTACCATTTTTGATACCATGGGGAAAACTGACACTGAATACACACAATTAATTTTGCATTTTTCCTTCTGTGGTTGTGCACTGGGTGTTTGCACTAGTGTTGAAATGATACTTGACTTTTTATATTTGATACAATACCTTGAAAAAAATCAGTATTTAATATAATTTTCAAAACCTTTAACATGACAACAACAACTGTACTTTTCTTGGTTAGTAGCAGAAAACAACAGAATGATTAGTAAACATTAACACTAACAGAGAGCAAGGGTGCAGCAGGCCAAGCAAAGCACGCCAGACGTCCCTCTCCCCAGCAATGCTTTCCAGCTCCTCCTGGGGGACCCCAAGGTGTTCCCAGGCCAGGTGAGATATGTGGTCATTCCAGTGTGTTCTGGGTCTGCCCCAGGGCCTCCTACCAGTGGGATGCACCCTGGAGGCATCCTGATCAGATGCCCGGGATGCCTCCTGGGCGCCTCCCATATCTACTACTACTACATATCTCATCTGGCATGGGAATGCCTTG